ACAACAAAAACAAAAAAATATATATGGATTTTTTTTTTTTTTTTCTTGTTATTGGAGGAGGAGAGTCGCTTTGACGGCTTCGGCGGCAGCAAAACCTGCGACGGATTTTTCTCAGGCTGGCAGAGCGCAGTGGAGAGGTAAGATCTACCTGCTATTATTCTAACCCACAGGGGCCTGCTAATGATCAGAATATACCAGTTATTAAATAAACGCTTGTCAGCAGATTGATGAATATGTTTCAATATCAAATTTTATATTTATTTTTAAGTTTGTAATTTATTTGTTTGTAACTTTAGTAATTTGAATTGAATACTTAAATGTGTACAAACCCTGTAAATAACTGACTTGAATAACTACTTTCACCATTACTAATGTTTTGTTGAGAAGCCAAACTGTTGAGAAATAAATAATTTTTTGTCTAAATTGTTATCCCCTTACTGCCTGATTTTATTTGCAATTACTATATATATATATATATATATATATATATATATATATATATATATATATATATATATATATATATATATATATATATATATATATAAACATAATACAGGAAAAAAATATAAAAACGAAAAAATAAGTTAAATAGTGAATCTAGATTAAGTTAAATTTAATTTCTAATAAATCATGTAATAAAGATAGATGACTGAATAAAAATAAATATTTTTGTCTATTTTTTTCTACAGGTCAAAACGGCATGTGCTGACATGCACAACATCTGCCTGGGAGCTGGTGATATCACGGCCCCAGAGGATGACATGCCAGAGGATGAGAAGGGGAGAACGTGTTGGAGGCAGTCTGTGGTGCTCCATGGAGGGACCAGCTGTCTGCCAAGGTGTCTGCCCCTGGAGGAGGGTCTACCCGACCACCATTACATTTTGATTGTCACATTTTAGCACATTTTAATCACATTTTAGCTGTTATTTCAGGGTAATGAAAACAGTTTTAGTAAAGTCATTATTTTCTTCGTCATTTTAAACTTTTTTAGTAACATGGCAGCCGTCAATTGGGGCAGCTGTCGATTGGGTCAGCCCTGCAAACCCTGATGGATGATGTGGTGAACAGTGGAGAGAGGCACCCCCACCCCCCAGATGATGTCCCACTCACAGTCAGAAGACTCCAAGGTCATCTGTGTGGCATCGCATCCAGTCCAGCAGCACCACCAGGGACTCCTGCTCAGTCACAATTGTATATATATATATATATATATATATATATATATATGTTCTCTAGTAATATTTACTGTATATCTTCTGTAAATAGTTGTAGTAGTTAATTTTAAAATCTAATTTCAATACTTAAAAATGTTTTTAATAGTTTATTGTAAATACTTGCTTCTCTAAAAATAAACTGATGTCACTGAGAAGTTGTTCTAAGTTTACTTAAATTATAAAGAAGTGATGAAACAGATAAAAGACTTTAAGAACACACCGACAACAATAACTTTTATAAACAATTTAATAATTTAATTTAATAACAGCAACACATAACCTGAACTTGTAAAAAAAAAAAAAACAGCAAAAATAATAATGTCTGTCCACCATCCTCTCCAATAAATGAAATAATCTGTCCATCCTATCCCGCTTCCCTCTGCCATCTGATATCCTCCCTGATTAAATCCACCAACTCGTCTCTCCTTCTTCTCTTGCTCCTTTCCCTCCTCTCTCCCTCATTCTCTTCCTCATCGTCAACCTGGTGCTGCTCAGCCTCTGCAGCACCTGGCCCTGCTGTGTCCTCAGGGATGGAGGCAATTAGGACAGGTGGGGCATTAGGGGGCCTCTGTCCTAATACCTCATCTATGAGGACAAACCAGGGCCAGGTGGCAGCAGTAGGCTTCCCACTGACCCCCTGTTTTCTGTAGTGTTTCTTTAAAGCTAGAAAAAAGGAAGGTTTCATGATTTGGATGGATTAATGAAATTCTACAGAAAAAGACTTTGGAATGGTAACCTGGAGATTACTTTTTTAAGCTTACTCAAAATTAACATGAATATAATAAATGTAAGATGTAATTTCCCTACACACACACACACACACACACACACACATATATATATATATATATATATATATATATATATATATATATATATATTAGTGTGTGTGTACATTATCCAAACCTGAACATACTTTGTATTTTTTTTTTTAAGTTGTCCCACACAAGGATCACTTCTATCACAAATATGAGATTTACAAAAAGTGGCATCTGGGCATCATTTGATGTGATCAAATTATTATATATTTGTACGTTGGTGTTTGAACAGGACTTCTTTTAACTTGTGTGACTTTTACATAGAAATGCAACATGTAGATGGAATTCTGCCTCAACTCTTCGCTCCATCCGACTGCAGCAGTATTTTTGGCCCCGATGATGAAGTGGTCATTTTATCCACTCCTCTGTCTGCTCCCTGGAACAAAATGACATGTAAAGCATATTTCTGTTATGTCAACAGGCAAAATGACTGTTCTGTATAATTACACTGGTATTGTTCTTCAAGTGAATTATACTTTAAACCTTATTATACTGTACTGTAAATTAACTATACATTATTGAGTATTAAAACAAAACGTTTACAGTATTAACAGCCCAGTACAGCTGGACTAATGTTATTTCTTCAGCTGCATTAAGCTTTAAAAGTTCTAAAACTTTGTAATAAACTGTTTGAGAATAAATAGATCTGATTAGTGAGGGATACGGCTATCAGTACAGTAAGATGTAGGTTAAAATAAAAAATAGTGACATTTGTATGAAGGCTTTTAATTGTTGATGAACATCACGTATCAACAGGTTAGCTTTAAGCTTTAGCTTTAGCTGGTCCTACACATCCCGGTGGCTCCGGTACCGTCATGTATTTTAATAGATGTTCATTTAAAAAAAGCAAAAACAAACTACTTACATTTAAAGGTGTTCTCCGCTCTACTGCCGGCGCTGCTGCTGCTTTCGGTTGTCCGTAACTTCAAGAAAATCCGACTTTCTTCTTCTTTTTCTTCAACTACTAAAAAAAAAAAAAAAAAAAAAAAAAAAAAGAAGCCAGGAAGTGCTCCTGTGATTGGTTGGCCTATAGAACCCACCCCCACCCCCCACACACACACATTTGCTCTCACATCTTCAAACACAAGTTCGTTTTGGCACAAATATCTCGCAAGGAATGTGACAAAAGTCAAAGCGTGGTGTCAACGTGCTGTGTCTCGCGAGAGCGCGTTTGTGTTCTTGAAGCAGCAGATTCAAGAAGCTGTAATGGCTAAATTGAGGTTGTAATGCAAGATTAACATATGCAAAAAAATAATAATTACAAATAAACTATCAATAATCATTTGTCAGCTGTAATTTTATTTGTGTAAAACTATATGAACACACCAGTAAATAGTTTTTTTGTGCATTCACATTTAAATCAGATTTGAGTGAAAATCCTCTTCAGGTGAAGATTGGACTGACAAGTGTAATTTTTTTTTACATGTTCTTGCCTGATATGTCTTTTAGTGCAACTTCAAATTCAGTTTGTGTGTGTGCGGTTTTTCTTTACAGCAGAACATTTTGGCATACAAGTTCAGATTTTTGTGGTACAAATTCTCACATTGCATTCTCAAGTTTTCACATTAAATTCACAAGTTCATTCATTTTGGCACATATTTACCTTCATATATTTACCAATACCTTGGAACAAAGATATAGGGAAAAAAATATTTACAATTATATAATACAAATAAATAGGATTAATACAGAATTATTGATTTTTTTACTGATTAGGTTTTAGGTTTTATAGGGGGAAATTGGTCCTTGAGGTCATCTAGAACCGGTATCCCCAGCAGCGGGCTTCGAGGACCGAGGTTGTAGATGCCTGATCTAGAAGTCTTATATGCAATTAATTAAAGAACGCATACTCAACCCATTTAATGTTTATATTATGTAGAACCATAAAAAAACATTGTAACATTACCTATATGTAAATATGTGCATAACTTTAGCAGCAAAGTTCATGATAAATGGAAGATTGGATGCAGGGTAAAGGGGAAAAGTTTTGGTCATCAGAGCTCATTTTATGGATGTCTTCAGGGATTTATTTGAAAATTATAGATGTTATGCTCGTTCAGTATCCCGTTGGTTTATTATGAAGCACATATATTGATAGCAAAGTGTTTTTAGCCCCTATGAGTTTTTGGTCACCCCTCATTGCACATTAGTTCCTGCCTGGCAACCCTTATGAAGAGTTTCTGGAACCGCAACTGAAAGGTTGGTTCAGCTGGTACTTTATTCACTGGCTCATAGTAAGCCCGTTTTAATTATATTAGATTTTATTTTCTCATCATTGTTACCGTATTTAGTCTACATTAAAGGGAAGCAAGGCTTGTTTACATAAATTGGTCAAATAGTCCGTTACATTAGCGACGTCACGAATTAGTCCGAATTATGAATATCGAAGTATAAAAGTCCGGATCCAACCTGATTAAAAACATTTATAAACTAACGCATGTTGTCCGACGACTGTCTAATTTTACTTGCGCTGCTTCTCCGGTTAATATGGTAAAGACGTCCGGAGCGCCAGGCATTTAGATATTTAGGAACAATCTTATTTTCAACAAATGGAACAATAGAGAGGACAGCGCTTCTAATAAATGTCAAAACGGCCTGCCATACCTTCTCTCATTAAGCCATAGTAAGAAAAAAACTGAAAGATTGTTGTTCTCTACTTAAAAAAAAAAAAAAAAAAAAAAAAAATATATATATATATATATATATATATATATATATATATATATATATATATATATATATATATATATATATATATATATATAATAAAAAAATTGTATGTATAACATGGATGCATATAAACTGGTTTTTATTGCTGTATTAAATTCTGTTTAAAGTAACAGATTATAATTGAAAAAAAAATATATTTATTTGGTTATATATATATATATATATATATACTGCCAGTAATCCTCGTCATCACTTCCTCCCTGATCCGCAAAATTACGCGTCGAGTGACACAGGAATGAAAACTCAAATTCCCAGAATGCAATCGGGTAGAGATGGATAATCGCGTCGGTTCCATCAGTGGTCGGTGCCGTTTGTCAGTTTCATTGCAGTCTCACAGCGACGAGAAGTAATGGCTGCAGCTCTTTCCCGTGCCCTGAAGCTGCCCGGTAAGATGCCTGGTTATTATTATTGTTGAATATAAATAAGATGCATACAAATGATCGGTAATGCGAACACCGCGAAATGATGCGCTGACCTCTCTTCTCCTCAGCCCAGTGAAAGTGCAGCTTATTTATTGTTTTATGAACACATGAGCTGTTTTTTTTATCATCAGAATGTTGTGATGTATGACGGTGTTACATACCGCGGATATTTTATTAATGTAGCCTTTCGTTTATGCTACCATCAAGCTAATGCAGGCTAATGTTTATCCAACGCTAAACCTCCTGTTTCAGTGAGGTGGAAAAATGAAAGAAGGCATTTTAGATTAGACGCATTTTAACCGGCTACAAACAGAATTATATTTTTATACCAGGAAAGAAAATTATAGAATATTATGGTTTTATGACTCTATTATTATCATTGTGCGGTTATATTGTCATTCTGGATCATAATAAATGAAATAGTTTAATGTAAGACAGATGTTATTAAATTTAAGCAGGCCTAAAATTAAATAATTTACATGTAAATTAGAACGAAACTGCGTTTTGCATGATGAAGGTAGTTTTACTTCATAAAGGGTCCACATAGAGGCAGATATCTCCTTACTGGACCAAAGCACAGTCTCTATAAATCCTTCAAGGTGCTCACTTCAAATTAGGAATTAAAAAACTAATTAGTATTTATATGTTGAACTTATTCTCAGTATAAATGCAGATGGCAGATTAAGGCTTTAGAGGCGAGTCAGAGAAAATGAGCAGGGTTGGGTCATAAAACAGTATCCCAAGGTTTGATAATCTCTTAGGGCTATGTTCAATAGATTATCTCATAATGGAAAAGGGAAACTTCCTGAGTTACAAGAGAAGTGGACATTAGGGCTCATGGTAGCTGTGTAGATGCTCTTATGGATTTGTGTGTTTAATTATAGTAGCGACTGCTAGATAAATATTTGTTGCGCTTTTCTCCCCCTTCTAAAATTTGAAGAAACCCAAGTATGCAGGTGTTGTTGTTGCAACAAATCTCTAATTATCCCTCATCCAGATTATATCATAAACACAGTTTATTCGAATAAGGTGCCTCTTTGTCCCTGCAGGGAAGAAGGGCTCTGACCTCGGGGAGTACGACCCTCTCACCCAAGCAGACAGCGACGATGAGAGCGAAGAGGACGACCTCGTGCTCAACTACCCCAGAAACGGTCTGGGCAGAGACAGCTGCCTGGGCTCGGGGTCATCGAAGCTGCGCGGGGGGAGACCTGGGCGACACGTTGGCGCCACTGATGAGGTGCAGGATGAGGAGGAAGAGGAGGAAGACGAGTGGACGGACCAACTGGCCAGCAAGTCCAGAAAGGGCAGAGACAACCTGAAGGGCGGCCAGTACTGGAGCCACGGGGACTCAGCAATCAGGGAGGACAGAGGAGGAGCTGGGACGTCTGGGGCTGCTGGGCTGGGGGCTCACAGCTCTGAGGCAGAGGAGAAGAGGAGGAGGGTGAAAAATGCAATCCGTAGTGCATTTTTCCTGGTGCCGCTCGCTTGTTCCACTTTGATTTTGCTGCTGTGTGCGTTTCTGCTTCCCTGCCAGAAGGCAGAGCTGGAAAAAAAGCTGCAGTGGGAAAGAGCGCTGGGAGATGCAGGAGGTAGAGATCAACAAAGTGTAACAACTGTAGTTTACTGAGATCAGAGGACAGAAATAAATACTCATTAGCTGGTTTATAAATCAGAGGAAGCAACTAAGGTAGCATTAAAGGCTTACTGAGTAGACCTGCTGTCTAGACACTGATGTCTACTTTTTACATTCACAGCTTATTATTACACAGCCTGATTATCCAACACAAACACAAGACCAACTTCAGCTAAAGCAGCTGGTAGATTTCCAGGAAACAAACTCATCTTTCCTCTTTTTCTTGATTTGGTTTCCATTCAGGTGTCACTCCACCCGCCCTAGCTTTATGGGATGTTGATGGTGATTCAGTGGAGGATGTGCTTCTCGGTGTTACTGAATGGATCAATGGCACACATGCAACACAAAGGAGCAAAGGTAGACTCTGCAGAAAGGTTTATACCGTTTAACAGCAGCTTTTCATCTGCTAAGGAAAGGATTTATGGCACGAGATCAATTAAGGTGATTCATTTTAGGACAACAGGATATAACCAATAAGAAGTTAGGAATCATAAGAAGTTTTTAGTTTGGACAACTTTACAAATAAAACCTTCCTCCTATTCATCTCATTTGGTCACTACCACAGCATGTGAGCAGAGTGGAGCGGAAGAAATATGGTGGAGCTCAGAGCGAGGATTTCACTCCGCTCCAGTTCGCTCCGACTTTATTTAAATTCATGTTTCACTTAAAACCTAGGCCAATGCCTATGCTGTTTTCTCTGCCTATACTCTGTTATAGTCTGTGTTTCAACTTCACTACAGAATCGCAGCGACAAGGATAACATATTGCGTGATAAAAAGTGTGATAAAATATCAAAAACACACTGACTATACTTAACAATACAGAGTGGGTTTACATTAAGTGGTCGTTGTTGTAAGAGCCTGTTGCAAAGTGACCTTTTTTAATGTAATCTAGTAAAATAAATCAATAATTAAAGAGGAAACGCAGGGTTACATAAATGGAGCGAAGTGTTACGTTCACAGCTGGGAAACGATAATTTAACAGCCAGTTAAATAAGACAATCCCCTTGTATCGGTCACATCATTAAATCAAACGCCATGTGTCCCGGGGCCCTGGCATAATTACATGAGGGAAAAATGTCAGAAAATGCCTTCTCCTGAAAATTTGAGCAAGCGTGGAACGATTTCGCCGGAGCGGCAGTAAAATTGAAGTGAGAGTGGAGCGGATTTTTAGCGTTCAGCCAGTTTAATTAATAATGTTGAGCTTCACTCCTGTTAATGGATTTTTAATTAGTGGTTCAGTTCAGTTACACTTAAACGACCTAGATTAGTGGATACAGCTAATATATCTGGTTAAATAATAAAAACAGATGTTTGTTATGTTTCTTTATTTCAATTAAATAAGTCTTATAAACTGATCTAAGTTAATTTTAATGACATATTCTAAACCAGTAACAGAGAAGTGTTTTAGGATCTCAGTTTGATTCCACCATATATGTTTTATTTAGCTCAAGTGGTAAATCATTATAATACACTTCCATCTCACTTATGGTGCCAATACAAAACAATACAAAAGAGGATAAAAAAAAACATGCCGCTATGCTTCCTGAGAAAGAGGAAGTCCCCTCCCACTAACTGCTAAAGACAACATTAATTTGTCTAAATATGTATTAGGTTTAAAGGGACAATATTATGTTTGGTTATCTTTAGTTGAATTAAAATTTCCTGTTGAAACAGATGCTTAAAACAAACCAGGTTCCAATTTAATTTCTTATAAGGGAAGCAACTGTGGACAATATTAATCAGCATATGCACCTATTCAGTTTTAAGTAACAGGATGATGTTGGAATCAGTTCCTCATCTTTAGTTGTTTAATCATCTCTTCATGTTATTTCAATGCAGTTTAACCTGCTTATGTTCTGCATGAAAACATAAAGCAGCATCACAAATTTATTTCAGTCCACGTGGCTTGTGGAAAACTGTAAGAATGTTGCAGAATGTTGTTTTTTTCCCAAAAGGTGTTCAGCTTATATTAGTCCTACCAACAGACCCCCTACTCCCACATTGATGTGTCTTCAATGCTGGTCTGTCACATGCAATGCAAATAAAACATTGATCCTTATAAATAAATAAATGGAACAGCCCAGCAAGTTAGGAATTAGAGCTGTTCCCTTTGTTTCCTTTTTAAAGGAATGATTTTTGTCCCTCCAGTTTACAGCGCGGTGGCGGTCTGCGCCGTCAGCGGTCGGGTGCTGTGGAGGAAAGTCATGAATGAGTCTGTGATGTACATCCAGTGCGGACTGCAGCGCGGCACGCAGCCGTCACCCGTTTGCCTCATTATCGGAAAATCTGTCCTCATGGCGGTGAACGGCACCACAGGTCAGAGCAGGGGTCTGCAACCTGCAGCCCAATAACTTTAATCAACCGTATTTTTTAAAAAGCGGAGTAGTGTTTCAAAATGTTAAGATAGTAATTAAATGTATCCTTTAAAGTGTTGTTAGTCATAGTTTAAGGGGTATTTTTTTGTGTTTATGTTGCAAACGTTGCTTATTTTGACTACCGTACCTTTAAAGAAAATGTTTTAATCCTCTTTTATATAAATGTTGGATTATTTTCTTCATTTCAACACCCAAGAATAAAAATAAAATAGTTTTTCTTTAATACAAAAGATATGTCTGGAACTGTTTAATCTAAGATATCCAACAGTGAATCATTTGCAGCTTGGAAAAATTTTGTTTTTTGCTGATTAAAGGAACAAAATATCTTTTATGTTTTGTCCCCCCTAATGAAATGGTTATATTTATTTTGATTATTCTTTTGTATGTCTAACAGAAGATTGTTTAACTCAGAAGGACAGTGAATCCCAGATAAATAAAGGAGCCTCCTTTGTCTCTTTAGGGAAGAAGCTGTGGTCGGTTGTCCTTAGGAACATTGAATCCCAGGCAGTGTTACTCCCTGACATCCAGGACGACTCAGTCCCAGACCTCCTTGTAGCGACGCTGCCTGCCAATGAGGTAACGATTCGCACCCATTCTGTTTCCTGCTTTTATTTTTGTAAATTAGTGTAAAACGTGTTTCAGTCGTTCATATCCAACCTTTTTGGTATCTCACACAACTAAATGAAGCAGAATCCTAATCCAGATTATCAGACTATTTTACCATCTTAAATAAATGTTATTTTATATTCGTTTTTGTAGACTTTGGATTTGTCTCTGACTTTGATCTCTGGACTGACGGGAAAGAGAATTGGACATCCTGTCCCCTTCAGCCTGACAGGACAAGGAAAGCTGATCGGTCCTTTGCTGCATGAGACGCAGCTTGGAGCTTTTTACATCCTGTTTGGACTCGGTGAGACAGAACGTGTCAAACATCTCTATTGAAGCAGGTTCTTCTTTTCATGATAAAAAGCATATTTTTCTGCTTCATTCTTACCGGATGTGTCTTCAGGTAACGTCCAGGCCATCTCCTTACAAGACATCTGTCTTCGTGCTTTGGGCAAACTTCCCAAAACTCGTGCTGTTAGGAGGAAGGATGAGAGCTGGGAGAACCTGAAGAAAACCAATTTGACCTCTTTTATTCGCATCTACCGGTACGTCCACATCTACTGATTAAAACTGTGTAAAAATAAAAGTAATTAGTTTAATATTGAAAAGAAAAAAATACCGATGGGATCATTATTGTCAATTTGAACAACCTGTCTGATTAAATCAGAGATTCTAGGACCTTTTAACTGTTTATCTATTTCATTGGGGGACAGATACAACATGACAGTAGTTCTATTTGTTTTCCATCAGGCATAGTGAGCAGAGCTTAAAATAAATATTTAAAGCTCACAGAGAGCTGCAACGAACAGTATCTGAATATTTGTTTAAGAAGTGTAAACATGCAAACTGTTAAGCACAGTGGAGGTTGTGCAATGCCCTGGGCCTGTTTCTCTTTCAAAGGCATTGTGAAGCTTATTAATGTGTAATGCATTGTTAGCTCTTTGACACATAAGGACTAAATCTGGTGAACGGGGGGAAATAGGTCATCCTTTAGTCTTTGAGCAGGATAATTACCATTAACATATGACCAAATCATCCTAAAAGGTTTAAAACTGCAAAATAAACACCTACCTCTATGATTATTTCAGTCCCAGCAGCTAAGTCCTGTAGAAAGCGAGTGAGTGAGAGTGTAGAAGAACACATGGTTGTCCCTTTTTTATTCTTTTCAGAGGTTCGGAGCGTGTGGAATTCCTACTCCCTCTAGTGGCTGGTTTTGGAAACAACCGCTACAGCCTGGACCCAGCATCCAACCTGAACCGGAGCAGAAGCGACTGGGTGTTGGTTTACGGAGCCAGCATCCTGTCCGTGCTCAGACAGCGTGACTTGCACAAAGAGTGGACGTTCAGCTCAGCTCCGATTCACAGGTGCAGCCTATTGTTGAATATATCATATCATTGTGCTAAATTGCTTTAATATTGATGAAATAAAAGGGACATTTTATCTAAATCTTTCTTTTTTCCCCCACAGTCAACCAGCTTTGGGTCATTTTAACAACGATGGAGTTCTGGACATTTTTTTTCAGCATTCAGCTAACGGCACCATGACCGTAAATCCTCATTTTTCTCATCTAAATTCTCCTCTAATGTGAAACCTTTCCTATTTCTCATTATGCGTTTATGTGCTGACTGAAATTTGCCACTTCTGGCTGCTCCTTTTCTTCTAGGCGCTAATTATTAGCGGGTCAAGCGGCAGCCTCCTCTGGAAGGCCGACTTTGTGTGTCCCCGTCTGGTTTTGGAACCATCCGCCATATCAACCTCATCGGGCCTATCGGCTTTCCTGTTCTGGGCCAGCGAGCCGATCAGAACACAAGGAAACGTTGCCAAGACAACGGTGAGTCTGTCGTTGAGAGTAAACCGGCTGCCTCAGGGATGAGGAAGATGATTAGATTGGACCTGAGCTTTTCCAATCTGTGTCCAGATGGCGCCGGGCGTCGCCACGGCGGCACCGCTCATCAGAAAGCTCTTCCTGATGCATCCTGCTCATCCCACAGTTCTGCTGCAGCTCAGCAGCACAACCGACACAGCAGTCACATCCGCAGGTAAGACTCACAAAAATACATCCATTAAAAGAGTCAGATTACAGTAAAACTCTGCTCTGTTTTAAGTGACGGACCAACAGAAAGTAGAGGATAGTTATGAAACGGATTTAAAAAAGTGATTATTTTGTTTATTTAAAATTACAAATATTGTATTTACCCCCTTTCATGTTATTCTTCTAAATAAAAAATAATCTCAGCTCATTAATAAGCAAAACTGCATCCATCTGATTCTCAGGAATCACTGCCACACGTCGGTTTTCTATTAATAAATGATGAAAAGGCCTCTGGTTGCTGATGAGGTCATGTTTGAATCAGGAAAAGCATCTTGAATATGTATGGAAGTGACAAACTCGGAAAGGAGAACATGAAGAGCAGCAATACAGCATGCATAAGGCTGTGTTTGCCAAAGAAATTAAAAATATTGCAAAAAATCCAGAACACACCAACCCTCACTGGGAAACACGGTGACGGCTGCATCATGCTGTGAGGAGACCAGAACCCATAGGATGAAAACCTCCCTAAATATACAGTTAGAGCTTGGAAAAAAATGTTTTTTTAGTGGTGGGCAGTTATCAGTTAACGCCAGACTCACCGTTTATCTATCGTCAAAGTTGGTTTGGGAACTGGGTCTATTCTAGTGATGACTTTCACTGTGATATTGTAGCGTGTTTGCCAGCAGCTAATAACTCATGCTGAAACCAAGGTCCAATCGTAAAGCCCTTTTCTAAGCAATATAAAAGCTAGAGGAGGGCGGAATGATCCTTAAATACTATCGATACCAACCCTGGTATTGATATTGAACAATATTTGTTTAACAAGATCAATACTTTTCATTCTCTCCCATGCACTAACTGTGGCACATTAACCAGTCTTTAAACATGTTATCTAAGTGGGCTAACATGAACTAATCCTTTATTTATCCCAAAACTGGGACATTTATAGAATTAAAGAAACAAGCAAGTGCACACATTACAAACAAGATTACTCAAAGATTGAGAGATATAAAAGGTGGATTAGGAAAAAAACACAATGAACATAACATTATTAATATTACTGTAAATCAATTGTAACTATAAAATAAAAATCACAAAAACAAAGAAAGGTCAAAAATTCCATTATTCATCAAGTTTAAATCTAATAAGTATTGGTTTTGTATTGATACTGACCCTGTACTTCCTTCGTACTTTATTGAATAATCAATTCCCTGTATCGCCAACCTCTAATAAAAGACAGGAATTGCTTGTTTCTTCATATCCAACTGGTGAAACATTCCTCCGATGGTGCCAATGTTAACACTTACAACTGCAATCTCCAGAACATAATGTTAGCTTAGCATGAACAGAATACCAAGATATACAACCCTTTTTTAATGCAAAACGAGGAGAAAATTGTGATGTTTTCCCCATTTTGAAATTACCCAGCAGCCCTTGTGGCTCCTTCAGCCTCACAGGACATTAAAATGACCGCCTGAGTGACTGGTGGAAAAAGGAGGAATAGAGCGTGGACTGACTGACACAAAGCTACTGGCTGTAAACAGTTCATCATGAACTATTATGTAGGCCTAAATTTCAAAAGTAATGTTTATCTAAATAAACACGTATAAATCTTATTGAATGTTATTTATTGTCATCACCAGTTATAGTAGACAAGCTTTCTCAAGGATTCTGTGATTCATTTTGAAAACAGATGATGAGCCCCTGGTCTAATGCACCACCTAACTTCAGAAACCTGTTGAACGACTTACTTTTAATTATTATTTATGTAGCACATACATATATCATCCTTATTTTATTTTATTCTTACCCTTATGTTATTTTATTCTTATATCTTATTTGTACTTACAATCCTATTTTTCTCTCTTCTGTAATCGGTTTCACTGCAAGAAAAAGATTTCCCTGCAAGGGATTAATTAATAAACTAATTCTCATTCTGATTTGTGAAGCCCTTTGGCTGAATTTAAATGAGCCGTTTTAATCTAGATTAATCTAGACTAATTCCAAGATTACAGTGAGATTAATCTAGATTAAAAAAAAAATCTATGCCCACCACTAGTTTTTTTATTTTATTTTTTATTTAAATTAATTTAGTTTGAATGTATTCCTGTTTCTCATAATTCCTAGTTAAGCCCTACTTCCTGTTGGTCTATAATAACAAATCCCAATAAAAACAAATCAAAACAGAAGGTGGGATGGATGTGTTTGCTGTAGGGATGCATCAGTTTCTCTTTTTGTGACAGTGAGTTACCTGGAACATCTGAAAGACGCCACCTACATCACCGTCTCCTCACGGCCTATGACCGACTCGGAGCCCAGCACCCGGATAGTGGAGAGCACCAGCCTCAGAGTGGCCATCAGGAGAGGACAAACGGTCCTGCTGGAGGGAGACGAGAAACCCGGTGGAGCCGCTAAACTCAGCACGACGGAGGCAAACTCGTTCTTCAGGCGTCTCTCCTTCAAACGTCAGGAAATGTTGCCATAAGAGGATTTTTAGTTGATATTTCTTTTAGACGCCGAGTATTAAATAAGCATGTTTTGTTTAGCAATGAGCACGAGCCTCCATCATGCCACAGAACTGGGACGGCCTGGGTGAAAGGGACAACAGTTCTGAACATGTCTGCACTCAAGGGTCACCATCCATCTAAGGCTGTTTACACCAATTAGAAGTTTTTAATTTCAGTGAAATCATTTTGTGAAAAAAATGGTCTCATGTTAATTTATGTTTTTATTGTTATCAAAAGTCTTAATTAACTTATTTTCCTTTTTTTATATATTTATTTATCTAAGCCAGAGTTAGTTAATTCTGCAGCCGAAACACAATTTTAATTGCTGCTAAGACATTTACACTCATTGACATTCTATATATAAGATCTGTGTGTTCATGTCTCCCGATAACCTGTTTTCATAAGCTGTTCTCATCTGCCTTCTCCTCAACACTAAGTTATACTAGAATGAGTCTGTGAATATTTAATAATGTAAAGGATTTATTTTCTGTGATGTTTTTGGATCAGTTTTTTTAAGGATTGTGAGATTGAGTAATGTTTTATTACATGCTGGAATAAGCTGGGATTTTACACGATGCAACTGGAAGTAAAGTGCTGCCTGTACAGTTAAGCTTTGAGCTTGTTCCTACATATGGAGAGCCAAGAGGGACAAAAAAGAGCTTCAGGTCATTTCAATACGCAGTAATTATGTGTGTGAGTTTCTAGGGTGTGTGACGAGTTGCTTGGAAACCGTTCTCTGAACAGTATAGGTATGGAAGTTTATTTACAGCTAATTTTGATTAACTGTTTTTATAAACAAAAAGACACTTTTATTCATTCTAACAATTATATATAATTAAGGGAAAACTATCAGTTATCTACAGGGTAAGAGTAGAACCATTTAAAAAAAATTACACTTAAAAATGTTACCAAACTTTTTTTAATATACTTTTTGTTTAGCCAAAAGAACATTTATTAGATATTAACTGTTTTGTTAGATGATAATGCAAAAAATATATATAAAAAATAGCCAGTTGGGATAATAAGAGAGTCAAAACATTAAATGGAGCACCAAAAGCATTTACTCAGCCTATTTTCACTCTGGAGGAGCTGTAAGACCCAAGAACGCTCAAATCAGATGCTTGGATAAACCTATTAGAATTATTTAGACATGTTTATAAAGGTCCTGCAACCTAACATTTAAAAAATCTTTACTTAAAAAACAAAAACTCATAAAACCTAGAATGTCAGTCGGTGTCAAATGCTGTTATCATAGAATGATGCATATTGATTTATAGGAAATGTGTTTAAAGGTCACCAACATTTAATTAAGTTATATTGTGATATACACTATATTGCCAAAAGTATTTGCTCACCCATCCAAATTATTGGAATCAGGTGTTCCAATCACTTCCATGGCCACAGGTGTATAAATTCAAGCACCTAGGCATGCAGACTGTTTTTACAAACATTTGTGAAAGAATGGGTCGCTCTCAGGAGCTCAGTGAATTCCAGCGTGGAACTGTGATAGGATGCCACCTGTGCAACAAATCCAGTCGTGAAATTTCCTCGCTCCTAAATATTCCACAGTCAACTGTCAGCTGTATTATTAGAAAATGGAAGTGTTTGGGAACGACAGCAACTCAGCCACGAAGTGGTAGGCCACGTAAACTGACGGAGCGGGGTCAGCGGATGCTGAAGCGCATAGTGCGAAGAGGTCGCCAACTTTCTGCAGAGTCAATCACTACAGACCTCCAAACTTCATGTGGCCTTCAGATTAGCTCAAGAACAGTGCGCAGAGAGCTTCATGGAATGGGTTTCCATGGTCGAGCAGCTGCATCCAAGCCATACATCACCAAGTGCAATGCAAAGCGTCGGATGCGGTGGTGTAAAGCACGCCGCCACTGGACTCTAGAGCAGTGGAGACGCGTTCTCTGGAGTGACGAATCGCGCTTCTCCATCTGGCAATCTGATGGACGGGTCTGGGTTTGGCGGTTGCCAGGAGAACGGTACTTGTCTGACTGCATTGTGCCAAGTGTAAAGTTTGGTGGAGGGGGGATTATGGTGTGGGGTTGTTTTTCAGGAGCTGGGCTTGGCCCCTTAGTTCCAGTGAAAGGAACTCTGAATGCTTCAGCATACCAAGACATTTTGGACAATTCCATGCTCCCAACTTTGTGGGAACAGTTTGGAGCTGGCCCCTTCCTCTTCCAACATGACTGTGCACCAGTGCACAAAGCAAGGTCCATAAAGACATGGATGACAGAGTCTGGTGTGGATGAACTTGACTGGCCTGCACAGAGTCCTGACCTCAACCCGATAGAACACCTTTGGGATGAATTAGAGCGGAGACTGAGAGCCAGGCCTTCTCGTCCAACATCAGTGTGCGACCTCACAAATGCGCTTCTGGAAGAATGGTCAAAAATTCCCATAAACACACTCCTAAACCTTGTGGACAGCCTTCCCAGAAGAGTTGAAGCTGTTCTAGCTGCAAAGGGTGGACCGACGTCATATTGAACCCTATGGATTAGGAACGGGATGTCACTTAAGCTCATATGTGAGTCAAGGCAGGTGAGCAAATACTTTTGGCAATATAGTGTAGATTGATATTCAAGTATTGTTCAAACCAAATAGAATAGATGATGAATAAATTATGCATTTTCTTTTGCTATTGAGATTATTTAGTGCCTGAGGATTGCTGAGGACTTCTTGAACTACTGACGTAGTAGGAAAAAAAAAGTTTATTGTCCAGTTTGAAAATATTAGTCTACTAGGATTTGGGGAAAGGACAACTTGATTAAAAGTGAGGTAACGCAGGTTCAGCAAACAGACGCTGAGCTCAGAACAAGAGAGAAAATACAAAAATAAGTTTTTTTTCTTAGAGTAACCAACATCTCTCCTTTCATTAAAGCATCACTGCAAAATATGTTTTTCATGCATCAGTAAATTATGCAGGACAGAAAAGTAAAGCCGACATATGACCAATAACAACACACCGCAAGTGTTCAACATTTTAAATGAACGGTGCAGAAATATTGTAATGTAAAAAAAAAAATCTCTTAATGTCAAATAAGGTGATTAGAAAGAACTGAAGAGAGGACAGCATTATGACTAGATTAAGATTTGATCACACTAGGTTAAACAAACCATTGTTCATATGAGCTGAAAGTGAAACACATGGATTTCTAGAATGTAAAATAACAGAAAAGGTAAAACATATAAGAAGAAAGGATGAGATTAAATCAAAAGATAAAATAGGATTTAATAGGAACACCAGGAGAGGGGATTACAGAAACACAGCAAGCTGTGATTCAAGGAACATATTAAAGGATTTTATTATTATGTAAAAGCTACGTAATCACAACGATACGGTAGGTAGAGATCTGCACCTAAAAGACACGGTTGTATGGAGGCATATTACGGTCATTCAAAGACGAATATATATATATAAAATTTACATTTTTGAGTTTAAGTATTATTTTTACAAGAATAAACACACACATTTATGAGTTTAATCACACAAATGTATGAAATTAAAACATACAAATATAAAAGAAAATGTAGCAAATTAAATGTAGAAGAAAAAAGTAGCAAATTTGCAAGATTTAAACATGTACATTTGCGGAGAAATGCAAGTATATAATGCACGTTAAAGTATACTACATAAAGCACATGCAAATGCATCATTAATTGGGGGCTTTAGCGATGGAATGAGACAATGGCCTCATTTAAGTTTTTAAAGTAAAAAATGAGACAATAAACTTGCTTGTTTATAATCTCGTAAATTATGCATATTTTTCTCGTAAATGTACATTTTTATTCTTATAAATCTGCTACGCTTTTCTTTTAAATTTGCATGCTTAGAATTTCGTAAATGTCAATGTTTTTTCTGTAAATTTGCGTTTTAGTCTCGTAAATTTTCTACTTTTTCCCTCTACATTTGCGTCTTTATAATTTCGTAAATTTGCATGTTTTTTTTCTTGTAAATTTGCCAAACTATTCTCGTACTTTGCAACTTTTTCCTTCTAAATTTGTATGTTTATAATCTCGTAAATTTGTTACTACGGAAGAGGATTGATACGGAAGAGGAGTAGGGCCACTGAAAAAAGTTAACTGACTTTTATTTCATTTCAATTTAATATGGGGGGAAAAAAGTCAGAATTCTGAGATTAAATTCAGAATTCTGAGAACAAAGTCCGAATTAGGACTTTTTTCCCATATTGAACTGACATAAAATTTAAAAATAAGAGGCCCTAATCCTTTTCTATAGTTTACTCATAAAAAATGCCCCTTTAAACTCAAAAATATACATTTGGGGTTTTTTTCCGTCTTTGAATGGCCCTAATACGCCGCCGTACGGTTGACATCTGCCATCTACCATCAAAAAACAAAAGAAAGAAAGACAAAAAAAAAGAAGGGGTGCAGTTTTATATGACCGACGCCAGGTGGCAGAGTTGCCACCTGAAGAACGTTTTCGAACCGTAATTATTTGTTTTTTTTTTCCGCATTGCCGCCGCATCCAAACCCAACACTGTGAACATGGCCTCGGCTGTCCTCGGTCGCCTGCTCCAGCTGTCAGCTGTCAGAAACAGCCCCCTCTCCCCGCTGAGCCCCTCAGCCATGCCGGGGAGGACCGTGACACCGAGCCGGACAGCCGTGTGCTCCTCAAGCGGCGCCATTCTGCCCAAACCCAGGAAGGTGAGAGCAGTGTTTGTGGATAAAAACATGGCGTACCATTAGAGAAAAACGGTTATGAGAAAAGGGGAGTAAACTATAGAGGGAGAAGTGGATCTATATTTCAGTGTGTGTCAGAGCTGTCATAAACTAATGAAGGTGTTTTTATGGTGGGGACGTGTGGCACCGGGGAGCAGACCCCCTTCGGCCTGATGCGGATCGCTCTGGTAGTGATCCCCTTCTTATACGTGGGGACTCAAATCAGCAAGAGCTTTGCGGCGCTGCTGGAGGAGCACGACATATTCGTCCCGGAGGACGATGATGACGATGACTGAGGGGCTCATCAGGTAACTGATAGATCCGATCATGATCGATAGAATAATCCATTTAGTGCGGTGGATAATCTGTTTTTTTCCCCCAATCTGATTCTGTAAGATCTTAACCCTTCATAGGTCAAGTTACCGTTTTTGATCACTTACAAATGGAAGAGGATTAGGGCCACTGAAAAAATAGAAAAAAAACTTAGCTGATTTTTTAATTTATCAGTTTATTATGGAAAAAAAAAAATTAATCTCAGAATTCTGACTTTAATCTCAGAATTTTGGCTTTAATCTCAGAAGTTTGTATCTTAATGTAGATGGGCACCATGAAGGAAGAGATGTGGGAGCACTCAGCTTCCTGGACAAAGATGTGAGTTGTTTGAGGGGGCCAGTGACACATTGGTGGAAAATGATGGAATTAGGTGATTTTTTTACGTGCCCGAGGGGTCCCTGGTGATGCTATTTCATTAATGGAAGAGCAGAAGGTAATTAAAACAAGAGAGCTAGTTTAGTCTCTAAAACTGACATGGCTATTGCTTGATGCTAACATGTTTGTTAGCTGTCAGAATTCAGAGATTTAAGTCAGAATTCTGTGGGAATTCTCATTCTCTCCATGTGTTTTACTTTGTAGCACTTTGGAAAATTTACAAATATAAAGTGAAATTGAAAAGTTAAAAACTTAATAAGCCTAGTTAACAATTATACTTGGGTTTTTACATTAAAAAATGTAAGTGCAGGTATCAGCATTAATGCCTCTAAGGTTATTGTTGTCGCCAAAAAAAAAAGAATTACTTATAGAAGCACTTTTGTTATTTTTCTTAATATATTCGGGCTATTTTTATTTCTTATTACATTGACATTCATATTTGACATCAAAATATCTATATTTTTTAATTTTACAAAGTAACAATAACATTTGAGATGTTGATTTTCCAGGTATTTCACTGTGTGCCCTATAAAGGGTTAAACAAGCTCTTCCATCTCCTGTTCTCTGCAGATGTTCTGATCGCTACCTTCTGTCAGCAGCAGCACCACGGTAGAAGAAATGCCTTCTTTGGGGTCCTGTTGCTGTGACTCTGCTTGCACTTGTTTCAGGGATTTCACTGTTATTTTTGGCTGACTCAAAACGGTCACCACATTTTCATATGGTACTTTATCTGCATGCACTACAGGTGTCTTAATAAAAACATAGCAAGTGTCTTTGGATTCTACTGAAGCCTTATTGATATGAATGGTTTAGATAAACTTTAGTAATGTGAATTACTGACATGGTGAAAATGAATCCGCTGACTGTATCCAATGATGCTGGTTTTATGTCCAAGGATCAGTGGTGGAAGAAGTAGTCAACAGTAGTATTTGAGTAAAAGTATTAATACTCATAGTCAAATCTTACTTAACTAAAAGTAAAGTTACTTCTTTCAAACATCTGCTCAAGTTAAAGTATTGAAGTACTCACTTTTGAAAATGCTTAAGTATTCCAGAGTACATGCATTTAAAAGTATGTATGTATTCAATACACAGGTGTCAAGTAACTTAGTACAAATATTGTTACTGTACTTAAGTACAGGTATCTATACTTTACTCCATTACTTATTTTTCTTCATACTTCTGACTTCCACTCATTACATTTTCACACAAGTATCTATACTTTCTATTCCTTACATTTTTAAAACAAACGTTACTCGTTACTCTTGGCTTTGGTTTAATGTTTCTAAATAGTTATTTCACATCATCTGTGCCATCCACTGCAGATTATTGGCTCCATCCACATCTAGTGAAAACTAGTGTAATTGGGTGAGTCTTATAACACAAACACTCATTGGTTAGCTAAAGGAAATCATCAGAAGCAAGCAGGTGTTCTTCAAACTGCAAACGTGAATTTTCTCTGCCATGCTACAATGTCGGATTCAGAAAAAGATGTTGAAAGGTCTGAAAGGTCGGACACAGACGAGAGCGTCTCAGGAGATGGAGACCAACAAGACCTCCCTCATCCTTGGCACTATCTCATAATTTTTCAAAAGTCGTAAAATTGAGCTTTCAATTCATATAGTGGCATCTGGCTGATTTTATTTTTTTAAAGGTTACTTTATACTTTTAAGTAGTTCTTAGAGCACATACTTTTTCACTTTTACTTGAGTAAAGAGATCAAGTTGATACTTCAACTTTTACTAGAGTGTTTTTAAACTGTATAATGTAATATTTTGTTTATGCTGGTGAAGCTTCTCAGTTATCCAGGTCATAGTTATTCCAAAAAAAAATATAAAAAACAATCCACTGGACTTGGTTTCCAAGTTTGAAGACGTTTCGCTTTGGAGTCCAACAATCCCCTTTAAGAACCGACCTTTCAGACACTTAGATGGGTATGGGGTATTGACTCCCATTCTAAATGGGTCGACCCCTTTGTCTGTTCCAATTTTCATGTTTTCAAAACAAAAACAAGGCTTTGTTGGGCTACTGTATAAAACCTTGAATGCTAATTCCTGAGATTCTGTATTGAAAAAGCTTCCTGGAAGGGAAGCAAAATGTCTTGAAACTTGGAAACAAAGTCCAGTGGATTGTTTTTTTTGTTTTTTTTTTGGATATTTTGTGTAGATTGGAAAAAAAAAACCTATCAACAAAATTGGACACAAAAGAAGAGAAGTTGTTGTTTTTTAAAACGTTAGAAATAATATTTTCATAAAAGCAGAATCAGGCGGACAACTGGATCTGGACAAAAGACGAGTGTAAGCATGTTGGAGTTAAAGTGTGTATTTACAATAAAGGGAAACATATTTTCACACTGGAAACAAGCAGAGATGGGTTGGAGCTCAGCTACACAGTTCATGGGTCCTGGCCTCTGTAGAATTTGGACAGGAAGTCTGTCCCTCGAGGTTCTTCCGTCTCGTGAAAGTAACGCATCACGTGGGTCTTCTGCTTCCAGACGTGGATCGTTTCTTCCAGTTCCATTTTACCCTGCCGAGTGAATGAGACATGCCTCAATACACAGTGGGACAAACATCACCGAGGTAGGGGGGGGTTCAGCAACGGATCCAAACAATGATGGGTTCTCCTTTACCTTAATGACCAGCATGTCGATCACACGCGGGTCGGTGACGTGTTTGTTTCTGTCAAACATCTCTCTCACTTTGTCTCTGCCCTGGCGTGTTGTGATGTCCAACTGGAATATTGCCACTGCAGACAGACAGGCATGCCCTCTAAGTTTTAATAAGGGAATAACAGCCTCATTGACTTTAAGAAAAAGAATATCTAGGATACTTTTAACAAAGTTTAGAAAAAAAGACACCTTGATACCAGTAATTTATTACATTTGGTCATTTTTAATTGACTGTCATTTTGACTTTACAAACAAAATCCACTAGTAATAGTGACAATCTATGATCTAGAAAACATTACTAGGCATTTTACCAGCCTGTACTTTAGAGATATTAAGTAAATACAATTTGCAGATGAACCAGAATCAGACTGTGGATATTTATCTCTAAAAGAACCAGTGACCAGTCTAAAGAACCCTAGATAAAAATCATTGGGTATTTTAGAGAAAAGCATTTTGCTGTGATTCTAGCTGCAAATATTTTGTCATTCGTCTCCATTAGCTTTTTCTAAAAAACATTTTCTTGATAAATATAATACCTCAGTCTCTTTCACACTGGATGAAATGGGTCCAGACATCAATTTCTACAGATTCCCAACTATATAGATGAAGCCACGCTTATGTAGAGCTGGCTGAATGTTAGAGTCTACGTCAGGCCAATAAGGTTCACACTGCAGCCTGAAGTGACCCAAATCTGATTTTTTTGGCCGATATGCGACCTGGATCTGATCTTTTCATGGCTGTCTGAACAACACAAATCCGATTTTTTTCCAATCCGACCCAGGCCACTTGGCTAGCAAGTGTCCTGGACCCCCATACGAATCTGATCTTTTCTAATGCGATCTGTGTCTAAACGGCCAGGTCGCAATCCTGACGCCATTAATACCCCACAAAGGACACTATTTTTGCTATGAAGAAGTGGCAAGAAAAACAACAACCATGGCAGACGACGATGCGGAGAGCAGTATTTATAACCATCTTGAAGAGATTGTGTTTTTATGGTTGGGAAAGATCATTAGATGCGCTCCGGCAGTACTATCCAAGTTTACTTCCATAAACACAGAGCACGCTGGCCTGTGATGTCATTGCGTCTTCTACTGCACATGTGGGACCCTTGCGTTGTATGACTGCAGTTCACACAGGAGATCACATATATCACATATATCTGGAAATGTGAACAGCAATGCAAAAAAATCAGATTTGAGCATCAAGGCCTGCAGTTTGTCCAGCTTCTCTGTCCCAACTGAAGAAAAGCATCACCAGAGCATTATGCTGCCACCACCGTGTTCCACCATCGGGAGGGAGCATGCATGGTGATCAGCAGTTTTCCACACATCATCTGCATTTTTCCTATATTCTCTACCAAACCAGAAGCAAACTTTAAACATCTTTTAATTATGTTGCCAGATTTAGAGATTAAATTAAATGTCCTGCTCCCTCCTGGACTGTGGGCTCTTCTCTTGAATTATAAAGGATCTCCTGGATATCTACCCCTTATTACCTTGGCAACTTCAGCATAAACGAATGTATTAAAAGTCGTGTCAATTTTTAGTATTATTATTTTTATATCATGGGCTGAATATTTGTCTTTGAGATGTCCAAACTTCCTATCCTGCTGTGAATTCCTCAGCATTCATGATGAGATTTTGACATGAAAGCTGCAGTTGTGTTATTTTCAAGAGCAATATATTTATTACATAGGATTCTGTGCAAGGAAATCAGAGAAAGAGCTGACTTTTGATTCTTAATAGTTGAAAACTACTGAAACTTCCACTCGGTATTTTTGCTCTGCTTTGTATCGACATATCGCAATTATATCCCTTATAGATTCTGCATGTAGCTAATGTAATTCATCAAGATTTAGACGAGAAACTACAGACGTTTCACTAAAGCTTAGGAGAACACCACGTCCTGAAATCTTGAAAGTTTTTTGGGGGGTTTAGATGATCTAAACCTCCACAGAGAAACGACCTTGACGCTGCAGCCGTTGCTTTCACCGCCCGCTACAGCGGACCCACATACCTGTATTCGGCACCTCACGGTACCAGGCTCGGTACAGCTCCCGAACTCTGCGTTTAGCCTCGTCCAAGTCCCGACTCAGAATCGGTTTGACCACTTTAGCAGCACCAGCTGCCGTACGGGCAGCAGCAGAGGAAGCCATGACAGTTGCTGATGCTGGTGAAAGCGTTTCCGGTTTCACAGGTTAATAAAAAGAGAAAATAGGCTCGGGCGCCCACTAGTGGTAGATGATATTCACTACAAGGCATGGCTGCATGTGTCAGAATAGATTAGGTTTTTCTGGTAAAATATTTATCAAAACTTTATATGCTCATGTTAAGATACGTGTGCGTGTTAGACGCATATATTTCATATGCTGTTAGATATATTTTTTTCCCATTCATCATCCAGGAGCACCTTTTAATTTTATATTTACTTTAATTGTCTGACCGTGTCCTGTAAGCTTTTATTTTCTGCATATTATACCATGTAAGCTTTGTACTGTATTTGATTGATTGTTTAAATAAAAAACTTAAATTACAAAAAAAAAATAATAATAAATGCTGCACAAATGAAACTTGAACATAAAGGAGAAAATGCAATAAAGACATTTTCTCTGCAGGTCACAACAGTGCATTATGTTAAAGTCTTATGGTTTGGAGTAGGTATCGCCATAACTTCAAAGGAAAAACTAAAGCACCAAACATCCAGCTAAAAACATATTCAGTATGATTAATACAAGTTAATAATTAGATGAGCTTTTAGATTTTAAACATGTTTGGTTTATAAAGGAGCAGCTGATTACTCAACAGGACTTTTGACTATAGCGTCAAATGGACAGAAGAAAACAAAGAAGAAATGTTTTACCAGAATAGAAATGACTATTCTTCTGTACTGGTGCTGGAGAGGTGATGACTGGGACTTGTTAGCAAACTTAGGACTTGCAATCACTGAGTAAGCATGAATTCATCCATCAAACTTTTCCCCACTTAACACAGTCATCTGCCCTAAAGCTAAAAAGCATATTCCAGTCAAGAGAAGCTGAGATCATCAGACAGATCGTTTAAGGAGTCATAATGGTCTTGTTAAATTTTAGACCTCTGCTTAAAATAAATGCTGTGGACCTGGAGAGAGCTGTGACATATCAAACATCTGCTAAGCCAATTGAACTGAATGTTATGAGAGAAAGCTGCACTAAAATTAATCCACACAGAAAACTGCCTAGTTCAAGTTCCTTAAACTATTTTATAACACTTTGGTGGTATTAGTTTTTCCAGATTTCCACTTCTTATTTTTCAGTGAATAATAATGCTGGAATTTGTTTTTATATATTTGTAAGAGTATACCCACAGCATAATGCTGCCACATTTCAGGTGTGTATTTTAGAACAGAAAGCGTTAGCTTGTTAAAAGTTGAGTTTCTACATGTAGCCCAAATTGGTTGAGTCCTAGGAAGTTGCAGCACCTTTTCCTGCTTGTGGAAAACCTTAAAAAAAAAAAAAACATTTATAGGCGGTTTTCCAGTTATGGAGCTCTGTGTTCCCTTAACAGTTTTGGATGATTCATGCTTTTCTTGCGCCACCTGTCATTTAGGTGCTCAGAGATGTTCACGAGTTAGCATACTGATTAAGAAAGTTCTCTACATCTTTATCCAAACTTTTGACATATTTCCTGGTTTATTAAACCTAATAACTTAATTTAGTAAAGGAGGAGGCTAAATTCAAAAGCAAAAACACAATTCTTTTTATAAATATTGAAAATGTATATATTTTCTTCTACATCACAATAATTCAGTCCCTTGCCAAAAATAATCCCTATAAATGTACATTAAATGTTTAGTTTTAAGAGATAAAATGGGAGAAAGATGTTTTGTAATGAAGTAGCTTTATTGATCGCAAAAATGAGCATAATTTACAGACTCTAGAGGCTTTAAATATGAAAATGCTTCCAAAAAGTAGGTAGTTACTCTTTTTCACAATCGCTCTTTTCAATAAGAAAAATATATATTTTTAAAATGGCTCATTAATGCAACACCTGCCCTTTGTTGTGATGGTGGCACATAGCAGAATATGCCCATAAATGATCCTTGAAATCAAGAAGCCTGAGGGATTTTCCTCAGTGGCTTAACAATACATGGACCTTATGAAGGGAAACAATCATACAACAGCGTTTACAGTCAATGGAAAACCAGAAAGGCCTGAATCTGTTTAACAATCAGATCCAAATCACCCATCAAGTCTGCGAGGAAGTACAACTCATGCAGCTTAGTCATGTCAGAATCCCAATGAATTTTCCATGATAAAAAAAAAAAATAATAATAATAATTGCAGATGGAATAAAAAAACAAATACAAAGCTCCCATTTCTGAAGAAAGTGTGCCATTTTGATAAAGCCAACAGAAAAAGCTGAGCAATGAGACAAACATAACAGAATGTATCTAAAGATAAAGCTTAGTCAATAAACTACTGGCAGGGGCCAGTAAAAAAAAAAAAAAAAAAGTGGATATTCCAGTTTTAAGACCAAATGCGAGTCGCTACAAGCTTGAACTTTCAAAAGCGAAACAGAAAGTGAAATGTGCACATGATCATACAACATGAGGCCCAGTGTAATGAAACCGACCAATTCTTGGGAATTTGGTTGAAAGACACGTTACAGTTCAGACAAAGCTGGAAAGTTCCTGTACAGTCCAGTCGCCAGCAGCCTGGAGAGCAAAGCTCTGGGAACAAAGAAAAGCCTGAAATATTTTAAATGACACCTGTTTTTTTCCAAAATCTCTAAAGAGACTCAGAATTATCCTCTGCTTGAATTCTGGTTGTGCTCCAAGCCGTGCCGCAGCGGCTCGTCAGTGGTCCAGGCTGTTCCCTAGCTTTTGTCCCTCTTGCAGAGCGGCCATTGCTAGCCTTAAGTGCTCCTTTAGACTCTGAATCTCCCGCTCCGTACGGCCTTTCATCCCGCTCAGCTCTCCGTGCACCTCTGCGTACCGCTCACAGGCCAGCTGCTTTTCCTGTAGAACAAGCAGAGAGGAAAAACACCTTCATCTTCCACAATAACTAGAGAAAGCCCTCAGGCTGTAACAGGGTAACATTACATCCCTGACACAACAGACTCATGCTCAGCAAATTACAGGCTACCTCTCTCTCTGGGACTGTGTTTACAGACATCAGGTTTAACATCCTCCAACATCAAGACAAAACAAACAGTATTTGTGACAGAAATCACGGCGCAGTACCCTGGTTAGAAATTGCAGCTCATTCCTAAGGCAGCTGATCTCCTTGTGCAGATACTCTATCTCGTTATTTTTCATTCTGAGAAGAACCTGAGGAGAAAAAAAAAAAGACAAAGTTGTTTTCAGTTTCTACAAAAACATAACCAGACAGGAATCAGAAAGTATGTAGACATCAACAACTCTGGTCACAGACTGACATACACTTATCATCAGGAGTGTTGTGTTTCATTTGAAAGCTTTCCTGGGTTAATTAATCATCCACTTTATAGTTTAAAAAATTAGAACTATTTTGCTGGAGATTTTGAATCCACACAGGTTCAAAAATCATCCATAGGAGATGAAATACAACACTCACCCTCACAAATATTTGAATAAATGTTCGTCTCCGTGTTGCAGTGAACCTCATGCTTTTTATAGCCACAAACAATGTCCTGGTATAGATCTGCAGGCATGTGTGAGGATCTGGAATTAACAAATTGTTGGTTTTCCTGGCACAGAATTGGATTTCATTTGGAGAAAATCATTTTCCATCAGGGTCGAAGTTTTGGTGTTTTTTAGGATCATCGCTCTGCTGCAAATCCACACTATCTCCGTAGTTTGTTTAGCAAATAGGCACCTCAGCGGAAAGGGAACTGAGTAGGATGTTGATGACGATCCTGGTAGAAGCCTATGTGAACCAGAAAATGCTGATAGAGTTTCACAGGAGATCAATTATCTCACTGAATTGAAGGGACAAATCCACCTGTATATAAGCCATCCGGATTGTACATATTTTTATATTTCTTATTTCTATTTTGTTTTTCATTGTGTGCGATACATGTACACTTGCACCTTAATCCTTATTTATCTTGATATACTGTATATACCTGGATATACTGTATATATATATATTGCTTATTCTCAATGCACCTTTTTCCTCCTAGTTTGCACCTGCTGTAACTTCTATGCCAATATGTGACGAGTGAATTTATCCGCTGTGAGATCAATAAAGCTCATCTAATCTAATCTAATCTAATGGTCTCTCATCCAGCTATCAAGGGCTCTATTACCTGCCGCACATCCCTCCTTTCTCTGCCAATTTAAATTCTAATTATTATGATTAAAAGACAACCATCTTTAAAAAAAAAAAAAAGGAAAGAAAAATATTGACCTATTTGGCCACGATGATGAAAGGTGTGTTTGCAGGAGTCCAGGTCCACCTTTCAAACCTATAAACACTCTGCCATATCTACCATGATGGTTGAGGGATCATGCCAAGTGGTTTTTTTGTTACAAGTGGATTCAACTTAAACATACATTCTTAAATGCAGAAGTATGCCTACAATAGGGCTGCAATGATAAATTATTATTTAAAAGAATTAATCTAAAAAACACACAGCATTTTCAGTAAAGAAACATTTTAAAATTAGAAAAAAGAAATATTTCACATGTTAAATTAATTATAAATGGCAAAAAAAAAAAAAAAAAAAAAAACTAACCCAAATTGATGCTTACAAGCTTGCAATAAACGGTGAAAGTTTTTGCTAATTTATTCATTCTTTGGCTGAATTTTGGATTGACAGATTAATAACCTGGTCTCTGGAGTTCTTGATAGAGCATCATTACAGACAAAGACATCATGAAAACTGTTTTTGCATTATTTGCACAGTTTTGCCCAAATTATTAATTTTAATTGCCGACTCTTTGAGTAAATAGCATGTTTTAAAGTCTGTATATTATGTTTGACAACTCAAATATTATATTAGCTAACAATCATTTTTATAATCCATTAATCACCATGGATTCTTTCAGCTCCAGCTCGTATTTAGATAACTGTCTTACTTAGTAAGTGGAACACACACCGCTTTAATTGTCCCATTGTTATCCTGCATTAACCATCTCCTGGATGTTTGCTTGTGATCACTGAAAAACCTAACCAACTGTCTCCCATTTTCCTCCATTTGGCTCAAAACACCACAATGTTGGAATGCCAGAATCACTGTCAACTCTATAATAAACAAAACATCAACACGGACTGATCAAGATAGAAAGCATGATGAAAATCTAACTTCTTCCAGAACAAACACACTTGCTGCTGAGGTTTTTATGCTGTAGCCACAATGGAAATAAGTACGGTCATGAGGTCAAGGTGTTTCAAACCGAAGCAGACTGTATAAACTTTCAAGCATGGAGGCGGCAGCATTATGCTGCACTCCTAGAATGCATTATAATGCAGAAAAGGTGGACTGACTGGGATGCTAGTTGATGCCACCATGCTTATACATTTGAAGAAGAAAGTTAAACCCAAAATTCAAATTAAATTTAGCTCAACATGTGGACTGTTGCAGCTAACATTAAGCTGCTTATTAGATAGCAAACTACAAAGCAAGTTTTTCATATTTTCTATCTAACAGAAATGTCTTTAAGAAACATAATTGCAAATGGTATATTTGTGGGCATAACACCTTTAAAGTAATGGAATCCACACAGGAAGCATCTTTGACTTTTGCCAATAGTTTACTAATCATCTAACCAACAGATGACAGTTAGTGTTGATGTAATGTGAGCGGTTGCTAACATTTTCACACTTGCAGACCACATGAAGAGCTTAGCTGCCAGTGGGGATGATGCACAGAAAATAAACTCCATCTACTTTCAGTATCATAAACAACAGTACCTCTAGTTCGCAGGACTTTTCTTTGTTGTCCTCTGAGCTTTTATCTGTGAGGCTGGATCGTGTTCGGCTCATTTCGTCCGTCAAACGGGCCTTTAACTCCTGAAGAACAAAATGCTTAAAATTAATTATTCTTATATCAGAGTCCTTGACATCGTTTTCACATTTTTTATGTTTTGGGACTGAGCTGCAGATTACTGTGACTTACAAAAATATTCATACACTTGAATATTTTTATATTTTAACATTTCACAACCACAAACTTCAAGGAATTTATTAGGATTTTTTCAAAAAGACAAACACAAAGTAGTGCATCTCCGTGAATTGAAAGAAAACAAATTTTACCATTAAATTTCTCCTTTATCTTTATAAATGTAAATCTGAATAATTTGATGAGTATTTTTATTTGAACTTAAGCAGCAAAACATTAAGAAAAACATGACTGTCTGTGCTACGAGTGTTAAAAAACTGAATTACAATTAATCCAAATTTTTCTGACACTCTTCCTAGCATCACTTGTCTCTGCTGACTTTGGCCTCTTTAGCAAATTCCCATAAACAATAAAAGGGCAGTTAGAGTCGTCCTTATGCTGGAATATTAACTTGCATCCCAGTCTGCTTTCAGCCTCTACCAGGTTTTCTGCTAAACTGCCTCATAGCTAGCTCCATCTATCAACACCATGACGATAAACAGTCAGTAATAACTATAGTTCTCCAATCTCTCTAGAGACACTGTGGGCCTCTTGGCTGCTTCAGTGATGAACTCTCTCATTAACCAGTCTATCTGTTTAGGTGGACACCAAAGGCTATGTGGGTTAGCAGTTGTGCCACACTCCTCTTTGACGATGGGTGGAGCAGTTCTCTGTAACGATGCCATTTTATAACTTAACCTGCTTCTCCAGAACTTCATCCCTGAGCTGCCTCCAGTGCTCCTTCGTCTTCATTAAGGCATTTAATCACTCAAGTTCCCAAACAAACCTCTGATGGCTTTACAGAGCAATTTCACTGATGGTGAGATTACATTAGATTATGCACAGAAGGACTCTCTTAAATAATAATAAGACCTCTAAAGGTAATGGTTTAACTGGTCATATTTAGTAAATCAGAATAAAAGGGATGAATTCAGGAAATGGTTTGATAATCCAGAGCCTTCAATTACACTACTTTGTGTTTGTTTAAACCAATATTTTTCATAAGAGATGTGAAAACTTTTGCGACACACTTCTCACCCTTCTCCTTGTGTCAGTGTTGCACAGAGGAAGCGTTAGAAAGAGAAGGAAACATTTTAGTTTCACCTTTGCCGTACAGCTGATCCCTTTATCCCAATCAGCTGCTAACTCACCAGGTTCTCTTTCCTCAGCTGCTCCATGTCTCTCTCTTTTTGACCCACTTCCTGTTCTCTCTCAGCGTTTCTCTGCTCAGCTCTGTTGAGCTCCAGACACTTCTGAGAATAGTGCTCAGAGAGGCCAGCCAGCTCTTTCTGCAAGGCTTGAGTTTCAGCCCTGCATAAAAGAGAGAAAAGGTCACATAAAACGTTTTATTCACAACAGAAACTGACCCTATTAAATAAGAAATCCCTCTGAAATAGGATCCAAGATCCTGCTTTCTGATTCCACTAAATCAATTAGGGCAAAGGAATCATCTGCTTTAGGAACCATTTCTGTTGTCCCTCAAGTATTTCCTGTAGTAGATACTAAAAATACTAAACATCTTTGCATCTTGCAATCAATACCCACAAAAAGAGGAAGAGCATGCGATGATAAAAAAAAAAAAAAAAAAGTCCAGCAGTTAAAACAGATAAGCCCCACATTACAGGAACCACTACTGAGACAATCTAAGTGAAAGGGCATCTTGAAGACTGCTAGGAAAATCTTATCCATGACTAAATTCTTCCACATTCCTCGGGAGCCTAACAGAGCCCAGTGGCTGCTTTATTAATGGCTTTGCTTTAACAAGGAGGTACGTTGTGCTTTCTGCAAGTTCAGCTTTACTTAACACAAAAATTGTTGTGGCCAACCAGCTCCCACTTAAGAGCAGGACAGAGGTGGTCACACGGTTTCGCAATACAACTACAAGGACAGGAGCAAATACAATAATAATGATGTAATTATGCCGAAATGCCATTTAATGTAACCAGAGGGGAAGCAAAGTGTGCTTCTCTCTCATTAGCAGGAGCTAATTGAAAATATCTTACTGTTGTTGGGATTGCAGAGTCCGAGGGTCTAACCCGCTGCTCAGCCTCTTGACCTTCTCCACCTCTCTCTCCAGCTCTTGTTTGTGTTTCTTCTTCAAAGCTTCCATCACTGAAACACAAACATAAATGTCATCGGGATCTTCATGGCCACCAACATTTCACGACTAAAATTCCACAATTATCATTAACAATCTAATTAAATTATTTGACATGGTCTAGAACATTATACTTTTATTATAGACGCAAAGTTAAAATGCTTTGTATATATTTGCAACTCACAATACATTTAAAAAGCCCTTTTTTCAAAAGGTTAAATAGTTAGTAATGCTAGTTTGCTAAAGGTATTTATTAAGAGAATAATCTAAAGATGAATCAGGTATAAAATATTCTATATCTGCAGCCCTATTATACACATTGCAAAAATAAAGATACATTTAACTCATTCAGCTGTTTAACATTTTTTACAAGGTCATTTAAACAGCTCAGCTGCAAACGTTAATGTGTTTTAATAGGATGCCATGTCCATTTGTGTCCAACTGCAGTCCTCCAGAGCTACTATACTGCAGGTTTTAGCTGCATCTCTTTCTCCAACACGTCTAATAAATGAAACGTTGTTACCAAAGCCCAGTGAAGATTCAGCCTTTAGATTCAGGCTTTTTAAAGTGGAATTAATAAAAACTGGGATTTTTTTCATTTTTTATTTCTACACAAATTAATTTAAGAAGTGTGCCACATATTTGCATTTAACATTACTTCTCTTTCAAAAGCTCCAAAATTATAATATAGACAACAAGAACCAAATGGTTTTAGAAGTCAGCATGCAGCAAAAAAGAAATAAAATAAAAAAATAGAAAAACTTGTTTGAGGCTGCAAAGATCAAGACTAGGGTGGAGGTTAACAATAACCATACAAAGACAAGCAGCGCTGCAACAATGGTTTAGATTAAAGCTTGAAAGGATTAGAATCGTCTTCATCAATGTGCCTGAAATGAACCCATTATGGGAAACATTTCAGTCTTACAAAGTTGCAAACAGCTGCGACGTACAACTGTTGCATGCATAATATGCCGAATATAAAATATCCTTTAGACTAGGACTGAAACAATTAATCTATTATTGAAATAATCGTCAACTCAGTTTGTAATCGATTAATTGTTTACTGGTGTAGACTCTAAAATGTGCCTTTGGCTGATGGAGTGACCCACCTTGAGCAGCAATTCTACCCAAATTGTAAGAAAAAATGTGAAAACATTTTGCATTTAAGATAAAAATATTTTTTCGTCTGTCAGTATGCTCTATCCAGAATTGTGCAGGAAGGTTTAGTTTAGCAAAAAGTCTTCTTTAAGGAACCTTTTGCTATCTGACAATTAATTGCTTAATCAAAAACATTATTTGAAAAATAATCATTAATTACAACCCTACTTTAGACCCTAAATATTTACAGAACATTTAGTCTACCTATGAACCAGTGTTTGAGAAAAATATCTGTTTGCTTTTTCAAACCTTCATACTCATTTAGGGAAGAAGATTTATAATACAGCCTTTTTTCCCCCAATCAAGCAGCTCTATGTCTCTAAATAACTGATTATCAGTTTTAGATCTCATTCTAAGTTGCTGCAAAGAAAGGCAGTGTTAGAATACAGTAAGTTTTCACTGAGCTGAAATATATACATTTACTTTATTTATAAATAATTTACAGCTAACTTAAGTTACCAATTATTAGAGATACATAGAAAAGTAAGCTGTACTTAAAAACAAACTCTTTCAGCTTCACCTGCAATAATTCTGAATACAATCATTGTATTTAAAGTTAAAATTGTGATATTTCACCCTTTTTATTTAAAATGTTACCTAATTGAACCTTTAAAAACTTCAGTTGTTTTTGATTGACTGACCCCTTGCCGTGTCCCTGGTCTCCTCCATCAGCAGTCGCTCCTTCTCCTTCTCCAGTTCCCTCATCTGGCGGTCATGCTGCCTCTGCAGCTCCTCCAGGGCATGTCTATGAGCGCGCTCCATGGCTGCCAGGCTGCGGCTGCAGGGTGCCTCAGGGCCGCAGTTGACACGCATGCTTTTCCCCCACCCCCCTCCTCCCCCCTGTTGCAGTTGGTCCAGCTGTTGCCTCAGTGACGCCACCTGAGAAGATAACGGCGGAGGTAAAGCCAACTGATCCACAGCTGTTTGCATCTCTCATGCAGACAGTTGCATGTCTGAGTGATGCGAATAAAGATTTCTGATAAGAATCACAACACAGCACACCACACCAGAGCAGATGGGCTCTATAGGAGGATTTTCCACCATAATTGTTTAAAAACTTCTCACAAAAGTTCTAAATTCATCTATCAGCTCATGCAATGCTCAATATTTGGGTGGAAATCACTGAAATGAACGTACTAGTCAGAAAGAAGGACAAATTGTCACAAGCTGGAAAAAGAATTGCTTCATCCATGTAGATGAAGGGTTAATTTGCATTTTAATATCTTTGCAAATTACAGAATCATCTCCACACACTACCTCCCTCTGCAGCGCCTCGTTGGCCAACGGGCTAGAGGTCCTCGATCCCATCGATGATAAGGAGCTCATGTCCCTTAAAGGCATTCGTTCAAACTCGGACCACCTTTTCTCGATTTCATCCTCCAGGTGTAGCCTCTGGTTCGATCCCACACCCGTTCCCTTCCGGGACAGAACGGCTTCCCACTGGCTGCTCATGCTCTTCTCCTCCTGCCATTGGCTGTGCTCTCGCCCCTGGCCCTCCCCTGCTTCTCTCTGACTGGTTGGAAGAAGGCCAGAAGAGGCGGGAACAGGAGAGAGTTCTACATAGTCGATTTTTCGTTCAGCTTGATGGGCCGAGCTTGGAGCCTCTGAGTGGGAGTCGACATGGCGTGATGATGGGCGACGGGAAGACGACAAGAACCGTTTATGGGAGTTTTCTTTGTCGCTGTTGTTGTCAGGTAATCTAATGGAAGAAAAAAATTATGAAAACAAAAGAGCTAAATATGATATTCTTTATTTTTGTTCCTACAAAGTTAGTTTTAAAAAGAATCTGATGGGGAAAAAAGTATTCATACCCCTCAAACATAACATTTTGTCATACTACAAAGACAAACGACATATTCTACCATCTACAAAGCACTAAAATGAGTTACAGTTTAATTTTATTTTACAAGTAAAAACCCGAAAAGTGTGACATACATTTGTAGTCAGTACTCCTGTAGAAACGTTTAGCATCAACTTTTAGGGTTTGATCTGAACCAGCTTTGCACAAAATAAAAAGCTCAGTCCGACTGTAAGCTTGAGAACCACTGAAAAAAAGTCTGATATATTTTTAGCTGGATATAGTCCTCAGCTTTGCCTTGGCCATTCCTACACATGAATATTTAACTTTCCTCTTGCCCAGGGGTCTGCAACCTGCGGCTCTGGGGCCTAAAGTGGCTCTTTGGTCCCTCTATAGTGGCTTTTAAAAGTGGCTAAAAGCTACTTTATGCCTCTGCAACCGAAAAATCTGTCTCTGTGTGCGCCCCCCTCAGAGGGGGGCATGGTCAGTCAAAAAAAAAGCCTGAATACAGGTCGGACGGCCACAAACCCGCGCAGACAAAAAGCAGCTGTGATTGGTGCTTGTTATGCCTTTCTGGCTGTCTGTGTGGTTGTCCTTCTCGATTCGGTGCCGGGGCACGTAGTTTTTAAAAACCGAGGAACAATTGACAACTACGACGAAAGGTTAATCAAAGAGGTTCAGAAGTATAACCACTTTTACTATGATTCAGACAAATTATATAAATAAATATATCCTCTTCGATGTCTAGCAACTCTAGATACATTTCCGTGACCGTGCAGTCTTGCAGACACGCCATTGTTGTTTTGGAAGATAAACACTCCCACCGGCGCCGCCAAAGTTCTCGCGAGTTCTTGAATAGGCTCCCCCTAGCCCTCTGGCGGGAAACCGCTGTGCAGCCCTAGAAATTCCAGACCCACAGTGCAGAAGCATACCAGCAAAACAGGTTCGCGACCAGACCCAAGCAACATTTGATGTGTGCGATTGCAGAAGTATAATCTGCCCTTAAGAATGAAGAGCTAACAAATGGTTGTAAAGTACATAAAGTATAATAAATACCAGTCTTAGAAGCTTTAGAATGCCACAAAAATATATATTTTGATCTATTTCACTAATTAGCTTCAAAAGTATATCTTAATATTCTATAGAAAATAATCCATGTATCCTCTTTATGAACAGTTTTCTGTTTTTCTTCTTCTAAAACCTAAAAATAAAAAGTTGTTTTAAAAGAGCAACATATTTCCTATAATAGAAATCTGACTATAGTAAATTGTGTTCTAGCCTGTATAAGAGACAAAGGCCACATTTGTGTAAAACCAATCAGGGTTGGATTCATTCATTTATTTGGCCTTGTACACAAGTTATTTTGTAGTTATAAAACCAAAACACTATTTTAAGTTTTTCTGATACAGTTTAGAATTGTCATTAATTGAGAAAAATGGTCGAGGAAACTTTGTATTAGACTCTACTGATTCTATATTTGCTCCATTATGAGCTATTTAGGTTACAAGACATTAGAAATATTTATATGAAAAATGGCTCCCCAAGTTGAAAAAAAAATGAACCGGTATTTTCTTTAGCACTTTTGGTTGAACCTACTGTGTGAGGTCAGGAGAGCTGCTGGGACGGATACTCTTCTTTAAAACCTCTATCCAGTTTCGCCTGATCCCAGCTGTCATGGCAGATAGCGTGAAAACAGCCTCCCGTGTCTGTTGCACCATGACAAATAATAGAAAGAATAAATAACAGTAGTGGGACGAAAACAATAAAAGCTTAGAGACCAGACAAGATGTGTGCTAAGATAAGAATTAGGACTGCAACGAGCAATTATTTTGATAAATGATTAATTAATCTGTCAATTATTTTTTGAATTAAACCATTAATAATTGGATTTTATAGATAATATAAATAAGGTGAAGCTAAAAGGTGAAGCTTTGCCAATTAAGGGGTTCTGGACAGAGCTCCACAGGCAAAAGTGTTTTTAATCTGAAATACAAAATGTTTATATATTTATTACTAATTTGCCAAAATTAATTCTCTGAGGTCATTGCCTTTTAAGCTAATTACATTTGTTAGAAGTCGTTATAGTACAGTTAATGATATCGATTATCTAATTAGTTGATTAATCACAATGAATCAGATGAATTGTTTAAGAGTAAAATATAGATATCTTCACCTGTATCTGAAAGCCATAGTTCTTCTCCACATCGAACTCTGACACCTTCATGCAAGATTTCAGATCAATCTCTCCATCCAGGTCATCTTTCTGTGCAGGGAAAAAATTTATTTAGATACATTAATCAGGTCTGTTTGCTCTCAAACACTCATGGAAAACATTTGCAGCTGTTATAAAAGCTAGAGATCAACTAATACATATTTTCTTCCGATTCAGAGATCAGTCTAACCGATCCACTATTAAGGCTGATATGGCTTTCTTTTCCTCCATTTATATAATAACATAACAAATGACACAATTATAACAAATGTTACACGAGCCCAAATTTCAACAACAATAAATTCTTATCAATAAATTAAGGAAAATATGTCAGCTAATGGAGGGAGCAGCAGTCCGTTCACCTTACAGGATCTTAAGGCATGGCTGTCTAATGCAGTGAATCGGTGAATGCATGCATGTAACGACAGAAAATATTGGCCGACTGAGGTACAGATCAATCACTAATAAAAACATTATAATGGAGAAAAAAACCTTACCTCTTCTGCATTGGAGTCTCTGTAATATTTCAGTCCAGCATCAGTCAAAACAAACCAGTGTTTTTTCCACTAAACAGAGAAAAACATAACAGGATCAACTGAGAATGAAGAAACAGTGACCAAGAACCGCTGCAGTCAAATAAAAACCAAATTTGGTATACGTGCTAATTCCTAACAGAAACCATTAACTCCTCCATTAAAGACAATCAAAGAGGAACAGCTAACCTCTCCACAGTCGTCCAGCTTTGACATCCATCCCTTTTTGAAGTTCAAGAGGTCAGGCTGCCAAAGGGGAGAGCACAGTGTCAGTTAATTAACTGTCATTTGAATGCCTGAAATGAACGCAACAACAGTTTGCAGTCCGAAAATCTGTAGCCTTTTTGTATGTCAGCAGTATTCACGTGATCAGACAGGCATTAAAGAGCAGGTTTGAGTAGATTTCACACATAAGAAAAACAAAAAGGGAAAGAAGAAAGAGAGGATATGACAAAGAGAAACACAAGCCTGTATCAAAGCGTGGTGCAAGCTCATTGTATGCACACCTCCGCAGGTTTACCCCATTATTGTGTTGAAACATAACAGAAACCATGCTGCTGACTTATTCTGCCACAAAGGACGTTAACTAGTTTCCACCAAAGCTGTTTAAGCCGACAAAAGGAGATACAATCTCTTTTTACACAAAAAATAATCCTTACACAACTTAAAATGGTGGTAAAACAAGTCTACACTGTAATCATGTCTAAGAGACTGATAGAGTGGTTTCGCGTGAGCATGTTGTTTACTAAACATGTTGCTGCGCTTCTGCACTGCAGCTGCCTCGCTCCACCTCAGTACAGGAAGAGAAAGAGTGTGCAATATACCTCAAAGATGAAATGTTCCCAGATTAAGATTAGCTGCATCCACTCCTGCCTCTTCTTATCTTTCTCTACTTCGCCCTCACATTCCTAAATTTAAACCTCATTGCATTTAGGGTTGGGAATTGAAAAGATTTTCACGATTCCGATTCCCTTTTCGATTCTATGAAACGATTCGATTCTTTATCGATTCTTTTTTCGATTCCAATTTGGGGGAAAAAGGAGAACAAACAGTTTGATTATCAGAATCAACTTTGTTTACTTAACTATTGCACAATCTTACAAACTCAACAAGATCAAGATGTCCACAGGAAATGTGAAACTGGAGTAACATCTGTGTTTAAATGAAAAATAAATATACAAGAACAAACTTAATAACCAACAATGTCTAATAACAAATGATGGGATAATAACCTATTTTAAATAACAAAAAATACTAATTATAAAACAGTAGTAGGGAAAATTAACAGTTATTTTGCAGAAAGATGAGCATATCTGCTTTTTCTGGAAGGATACAGGATCTTTCAGGGCTTATGGTGTCTCCAGCCGTGGAGAACACCCTCTCAGATGGGGTGGAGGAAGCCTGCACACAGAGGTAGTTTTCAGCCAGTCAGATAGCAAGGGCAGCACATCTTGCTTGTTCCACCACCACAGTGTGGCGCTATCCCTGCAGGGGATGGAGGGCAAGCTTTTATAGAGCTGGATTTCCTGATCTACCCTCTGGGCTAAGGAAAGACGGGGCTTTGATTCACAAAGTGACCGCAGCTCGTTGTCTTCCTCCTCGAATAGTTCTTCCAACTTGCGTAACTTGTGTAACTTGCGTAACTTACGTAAAAAACGTGACGTAAGTCGTGCTCCCCAGAGCCGGCGCTCTAGGCTCTGGTGCTGCGGGAATCGAAAAAATAATCGTTCAGTGAGCTGCCAAACGATGCCATGGAATCGGAAAATACGGAACCGGTTCTTAACAGGAACCGGTTTTCGATTCCCATCCCTAATTGCATTGCTGATATTGTTTCCAACAGAGCTTACACTCCCATCTCATTATCTCCTAACGCAAAGTCATTTTGATCCTTTTATATCCTTAAGTTACAATCCTTTGTTCTGTTTCCATCTCTTTGTCCCCATGCAGTCATCTATAGAGCCTAGCAAACTATGCACAAACCTAGAGTTTTTTTCTTTGCCACATTCTGTGTATTTTATTGGTAGTAAAACAGAAACAAAGTGCACAATATCACAGTGGAAAGAAAAATCAGGAATTTAAAAAGATAAAAATAAAAAAAAAAATCTGTTTTTTTTTTTTTTTTTTTTTTATCCACTCCTAAAAACAAAATCCAGCAGACCTTCAAGACTCCAAGAGTAAACAGAGGACCAGACAAATGTTTGAAAAAGTATGCTGTGGTCATTCTATTATGAAAGATAGCCATGCTAACATAATCCCAACAATGAAACATGGTAGTGGCAGCACCCTGATGTGGGGATGCTTTTTTTAGTAGGGCCGAGGAAGCTGGTGAGAGTTTATAGAGACACAAATTGAATTGAGGCCAGAGCCACGTGTTTCTCCACCCAGGTCCTCGGGGCCCAAATGTCCAGCATGTTTTGGGCGTTTCCCTTCGTTCACACACCTTACTTAGATTATTTAAAACAATCCACATATAGTAAAAGGGAAAAAGTGAAGGAACTTGGTCTCAGATGCTTTATCTTATCCAGCAGAAACCTTTTTTTTTTTTTTTTTTTTTTAAATCAGCAGATATTTCAGTTTAGATGTGTAAAGCTAGTAGATTTAGCAAAAGTCCTGCTAATCAATTAATCACGATTAATCCAAGGAACTGTTTCAGCCCTAATCCTATATACTATGAATCACAGATGTCGGGTTTTCATTTCTCCCTTTAATATTACTGTTCACCACGGCAACAGCCAGGTTACTTATGGTACTGGTACCAGTTAGGCACGACAACCCAAGAACTTGATTCCACATACTCAGCACCATATCAAGAGGTTTCCTTTTAAAAATAGCCATAGGAGTCCTGCCAGCATTACTGCAGAGGTTGAAGGGGGGATATCAGCCTGTCAGTGCTTGTACCATACACTGCATTCAAGGCAGAAGCCTCTTTTAAAAAGGATGTAAAAGAAAGCCCCCTAAACAGTTCAAGAAGGAAGTTTAGGACATATATTAGTGAAACCAGGTCTGATGAGATCCAGATCAACTCCTTAGGTTCAGATGGTGTCAACCAGGCAAGAAGCACAAAGATAATTGTGGTAAAAGCAGCAAGCTGACTACTTTACATTGGATCAAAGAGTTTGCTTTTGTCCCAATAAAAGTTAAACAAATGTGAGAAAGAATATAACATTTCTTCTCTAATATATGTATATATTCAGGAAGTTTTTAGACAAGGTTTAAAAATTGTTGAAAGCCATTATGGGCGCAAAGGGCTAAGAGCAATGAACACTGAAGGAATCCTGAGCAGGAGATACATTAAGTTTTTATCTCTCTCAGGAATAAGGTAAAGGAAATGACAGGTGCAACCCATGACGTGTCAAACCCCCATCATAAATCAACGTTGACTAGTCTACACTTGCCTATATGAAGGGTCGGTAAGCAGTTGGAAGAGGAAACATAATTTAGGAAAAACACCAGTGCTTCCAACGGCCATGTGCTTATAGAGCCTGTTCATATAGGAGAAAATAAAAGGTAACAAGAAAAAAGAAATCATCCAGTTTACAGAGACAGTCTGCACTCTTCCTGACCCCTGTATCCTGTCACTATAAAGGAGTATTGTCTCCGCTGCTTTGTCCTTAGGGCTCAGTTAAATAGGTTACCTCTGCGCACAATGAGAACAGGAGAATCCAAATTAACAGGCATTGTGATGACACTCCTGGATTACTGCAGCTTGGAGAACCGATACGTCTTGATTACTTTATATTTTTTTTTAAAAAGCAGCTCATCAGGTTTTTAAGACCAAGTGTGTCTGTGTGGAAAAACGCACCGATAACAAGAAAAAAGCAGCTCATCATAGTTATTCTGGATATGTATACATGACCCTGCTATGTTTTCCTTCTAGAAACCTCCAGGTTTGCTCCTTTGTTAATCCATACTCATATTTCCTACCATAAACAGTATTTTTTTTTTTTCTCCTTAGTCTCGCTGTCTCAAATATAAACAAACCAAGAGGTATTTTGTTTGTCGACTTTTATGGTACATTAATTCATATTCCAGTTCAAATAATAGTTGGGGTGATTTAAACTCAAACTGTAAATGTTTCTTATGTTTTAAATAAGGATTTTTAAAAGTCAGACGATACAGATGTGTAAAATGCTTGTTAAAAGGAAATGGTTTTTTAAGGCTCGCTATGCCAGAGATGTAAGCTGATAACAGGAAGTTAAAAGTATAACCGAAAAGGTCGATAGACTGTATCACTTTTAATCTGTCAAGCCTTAAGAAATCTTTCAATTAAGGTAAGGATTATTAACTCTATAGACTGGCACCGAGACGGCTCTTAGTAATGCAAACCGCAATCATGATAATTATGTCAGTGAGAGGATCAAGTCAATTTAAAATCTAAAATCAGCAATCATTAAGTCCCTCCTACAAAAAAGGGAGCTGTCTACTTTAGTCTTAATGTAAGTAATTAATCATTAGTCTCAGAAAGGTTTCTATCCGTCCCATTATGTTACAAATAGAGGCTCACTTTCAAAAACACAATAAAATCAAAACCTGTACCTAACGGGTATAAAGCTGGGTGCAGATAGTTTTTACATGGAGATGATCCTCCAGAGAAAGATTGCTTGTTTTGCAGCTATTCTATATATCAGGTGGAGAAAAAAAGGATGTAAATATGAAGGAATACATTTTGCCAAAATTCACTTTCATACTTGGACCAATGTCAGTTTCACAACAGAGGTGGTTTAAAAGTGATTGTAGATATTAAGAGATGCTGAGACATAAAGTTCATTAACTTTGGCATGTTTTAAGAACATCTTTAGTTTTTTTTTATAGTTTATAGCACTGCGCTGAAAATAAGAAAAAACTAAGTATATTATTTTTTAAATTCACAATTCTTGAAGAGACATATCAATCAGGTGTTCAGAGCTTTTTGCAGAGCAATATGTACAGAAATATAGTTTAAATACAGCCTGCATTTCAGACAGTACAAATGTATATGGCAGCCATGTTCGATTCGGCGTTCCAGTTTGGAGAGACATCAGTGGGAATTTTTACATCATAGGGACCGAATAGATTTTGTCCAAATTTAACAAAAGTGTAGTTCAAATAAACAGAAACTTTTAAACAAAATGAAACAAATAAAAAAGTAAAAGGTTTGTATGTATTGGTTAAAAGAGTAAGCAGGTACAAAATGACCTGTCTGTATAAAGAGACATGTTACCATCAGTGAGTATACAACAGCAGTTTGGTTTCCACATTTGTTAAAAATTAATGTTTTTAATAGATGAGCACATACACTTTTTTAATTCTTGATTCATTCTTTCATTAAAAGAACACAACATAACAAAATCTGTGCAGATGAAAACTGAAATCATGAATTAAAGTAAAGGAGCAAAAAGAAGTAAAAAACTTATATCTGCCCCAATTAGAAAATAGGAACTGTTTCTTATATAGCATGAAATCATTTGCAAGCTGCTCAGACTGATGAAACATCCGTAATTGTTTAAGAAAGACAATAATTAGTGTTGCACCGATATCAGTATCAGAGGGGGCCCTATCCAGCACAAAAATGGTGGTACCGGTATGCAGATAAGCAATAAAAAGTTCTACTGGATTCACTTTGTATTAATATTTTTCCTGCTTCACAAAGGTAGGCAGCAGCTTGACAAAGCCATGATGGCGATTATTTTACATCCAAGTAGTATGCAGTTGTTCAAATACACACATCAATTCAAATAGATGGTATCGGTATTGGCCGATACTGCACACCCAGGTATCAGTATCGCCAAAAAATGGCATTGGCGCAACACTACTAATAATTAAACTTTTTAGTCTATATTTAATTTAAATTACAGAGTTTTGATGCAGAACTCACAAGTCTTAACCGTTGAGAATGTTTAATTAATCCAAATTTGATTTTTTTTTTTTTTATTAATAATTTGAAATTCTGGATTACTGTTATAAGAAGAACAGTTCTGTTCCAGGAACTCCTCTAGATCTTCTCGAGATGGTTTTATATATATATAAAAAAAGCTCTTCATAATATGAAGAAAATATGGAACGCCCTGAACATCCTCTTCATAACTGTCCTACAACTGTCTTTAATCAGAGGCTTCTCCACGCCGCTGTAACACAGATCACAACAGGAGACCGTTCCAGCTTAAATGTACTAACATTATTTGTTGATAGAGCAGAACCACTGTAGAGCTTTAGCATTAAAAATAAATCAAACTAGAAATTATTTCAGTTCCTGTCATGAAAATTGAGTGGTGTCACTTTTGAAATGTTAAAACTGTGAAGTAGGAGAAAATAATTGACAGAACCTTAATTTTTTGTTGTTGCTGTTTTTACTTCCTATGATCCCTACTTCTCAATGCCATCATTTGTTTTGACCTATAAATCTTAATATTTTTACTTATCTGGTTTAAGCAATCTGTGGGAGACAAAAATGTTAGGTATGTAACGTTAAATGCTTAAAAAAAAAAAAAGTGCCGAGCAGCCGTTACTAAAGGCCAGGAGGGGGGACAGCATCTGTCACAGCTGGCCGTGAATGCGGCCACGGCTGTATGTATGGACGGCTAACGTCCTGCTACTGTACACACATGAACGATAAAAGAGACACAGAAACAGAAAAACATAGCCTCGCCAGAAAGCTGTATAATCTTTTAACACGCCCCTTGCGTCAAACCGTAGCGGGACAGAAATACAGCTAGCTACTAAAGCTAAAAGAACATTAAAGTTGAATAAATGTTAGCCAAGCTAGCTAACTTCGGAGTTAAAAGTTAATTTCACAGATATTAATTCAGGAAGGATAGACAGACAGGAAAACAACACACAGATTTCCGCATGCATATCTGTTTTAAAGCGTACAACTTACCGTCATGATAAAATTATCCAGAAAGGTAAAAAAAAAAAAAGAGACAAAATGTTTAATCCCCACAGGAACAACTTTCTTTCTCGTCTCAGCTAAACCTCTCGTGCAGAAAGCACCTTACTGTCTCGCGCACGTTACACAAATTCGGATAAAACCCCGCCATTCATCCACATTTTAACCCCACGGAAAGAGTCGCAACTTTCTCAGGAACCACAGCGGCCGAACTGTTAAAGAAACCGAATATGTTCCGCTGAGTGTCGATATAAACGCTGCAGGCAGGTCAACTGTAAGCGTTTGTAAACTTTCTGATACGCGGGGAGAGCTCGTGCCACCGCTCAGTGCGTCGTTTACTCGCTGCTGTCTCTGCTCTGTCTGCCACTTCCTGGGCGGGTCCGCTAAGATCGTTAGAGAAAACACGTAGATCCCAGCAGTGGATCTGTTCAAAATCTAACAGAGGAACCCCAATGAGGAGGTTGTGGTCCTAACAGGCCACATAATAATAATCTAATCCAGATTAAACCTACTCAAACAGTTCATCACTGCAAGAGATTATGTTCAGCTACCATTCTTCAAAAAGCAATACATCTTCCATTGATAACCATTGGTTATCATCTTTTTTTTTTTTTTTTACGCTTAAAATAAGCCAAGCCATATTTTCCGGATGGTCTAAGCTTGGAATTGAAATGCCCCCCCCCCCCCCCCCCCCCCCCCCCCCCCCCTCCTCTGTAAAATCCACCCTCTGTAGCTACTGGTTTCATTTCAGGAATTTCAACACATGCCCCAGCAGACCACAACTGACAAAGCTCAGTCAGTCTTATGAAATGTCTGTAGGGTGTAGGTAAAACCTACAGAGACCAGTGGTGGCAAAAGTACACACATTTGTTACTTCAGTAGAAGTATAGATACTGCAGTTTAAAAACACTCTGGTAAAAGTTCAAGTATCAACTCGACCTCTTTACTCAAGTAAAAGTGAAAAAGTATGTGGTCCAAAAACTACTTAAAGTATAAAAGTATAAAGTAACCTTAGGAAAAAAAAACAGCCAGATGCCACTATGTGAATTGAAAGCTTAATTTTTCGACTATTTGGAAAAATTCTTTGAGATAGGGCCGAAGATGAGGGAGGTCTTGTTGGTCTCCATCTCCCGATACGTTCTCACCTGTGTCCGACCTTTCAGACATTTCAACAAGGGCGTAGGTTTGATTTCAACTTTGATAAGGGACACTATTGGTCTGATGTCATTGGTCCTATACAAAAATATGCATGCTTGTTTATTTATGCTTGACGTGAAAATCGGTGTATTTCGTTTAAAGAGAAAAGCATCATTTCTTGCTAAATTTGTACAAATTTTATAAGCGCTACACACACTAGATGCTGTTTATCAATGTTTAAAGCATCACTGGCTCTGATGAATGTGGAATTATGACTTTTTTCTACTTTGAAAAGGTTTGCATTTGAAATTACCAGCGACTAAGAAAAAAAGTAAAACTGTGGGTATTTAACAAAATAAAGTCTAAATATGTCTGTTAAATCTGGATTTATCCTCTATTTTCTTTAAGATATACAACTGTGCAGAGGTAAAACCCACTCTTATCTTTTAAATATTCTCTCTGTATCATGAAACAAAGCAAAATAATAGATTCAAGGGATGTCAAATAAATGTATTGTATCTACATGACCACTGAAACTGACACTGAGCATTTAGAATATTAATTTCACTCTACAAGTCATCTAGGCTGTAGTTACTTTATTTAACCCATATCATTTATTATATCTTGTTCTGAAAGAATTCATCTGAATAATCGATTATTGAAATGTCAACAAATTTAGTACCGGTAATCGATTATTCATTATCTGGAGTATAGACACTCTAAAACGTGTCTTCAGCTGACAGAGTGACCCACTTAGAGCAGGAATTATACCAAAATTGTAAAAAAAAATAAATAAATAAATAAATAAATATTTTGCATTTTAGATAAAAAATGTTTCCACCTGTCAATATTCTCCATCCATTACTCCGCTATTGGTGCAACAAAGCTCTATTGTAAATTATAAGCATGTTATTCACATCTAATTGTTGGTAGGGACAAGTAGGTCGGTCCAAAATTTTGGTAGGGACATGTCCCTATGGTCCCTATGCAAACCTACGCCCATGCATTTCGACATCTTTTTCTGAATTTGACATTGTAGCATGGCATGGACCAGGGGTCTTAAACGTTTTCCAGGCCAAGAACCCCCAAACTCATAGCGAGATGGAGCGGAGAGCCCCTTATTATATATATTGTATGAAATTGTGTTATATGAAACTGGTTCTATAGTCACTATATTACATATGGAGTAATGTAACGAAAATAATTTCGCCCTGAGATTATCAAAGTATTTCTGAATCTGATTCTAATTCCTTGTTGATGAGACAGGTGTTGTGAATGAAACGGTGCCCAGCTTGAAAGAGCTCCTGTGTGTCGCTGAATGTGAGCATCGATGACTGAAAGACATCTTCTGCCTCTATTTATCTGTTTACTTCAGTGTGTTGAATTCATGTTAATGTGTATTTAAAGACATTTCAATTAGTGGAAAAAATTGCAGGGGGGGGGTATAAAAAAAGTCTTATCAACCAAAACTTTCGTGACTCCCATGCAGTACCTCCATGGACCCGCTTGGGTTTGCGGACCCCTGTTGAAGATCTCCAGCATAGACAATTCACGTTTAAAAATATGATGAGTAGAAGTCAGAAGTAGGAAGAGAAATAAGTAATGGAGTAAAGTATAGATACCTAAAAAGTATACTTAAGTATAGTAACAAAGTATTTGTACTTCGTTACTTGACACCTCTGACAGAGACAGAGCAGACAGCTGCTTGACATAAACTGAACAAGAGCATGTTTAGTATTTCAACAGCCTACATTGGCAACCAAATCAAAACACAGATATACATGAGCATAGGTGAATATGTAAAACAATATCTGTCTATACAAGGTTGGAGGTAATAAGCTGAAAATTAAATTGAGGATTACTCCATGCATAGCTGGTATTATATATATTTAGTGCCATATGTTTTAACAGAGGCGACTCAGAAACATTAAAGTCTCAACATGCGGGCTATAGCACCTACCTGCATTTCTTCTGATCTGTGATGATTACTTTTCCACGAACAGCCCTCATCTGCTGTGGGACTGCCTGATCTCTGGATAAGAGCAGCTTGTAGTTACAAAAATAATCAATGTCTGAACAAACAAACACAGAAAGTCATCACACAGCTTCACGTTCACAGACTCTTTCTAAATTAGGCATATGGGAAAGATGTGGGTTAAGCATTAACAAGCCTGAAAGGGGAGGGGAGGAGGAATAACAAGGAACAAGTTCAGTTCCACTGCAGTGGATTATATTGGGCAAAAAGGAAAGGGTGCTTAATGAAGGACAAATACCACTGTTGGGTTCAAAAGCTCAGTTCCCAGCATTATTCTACTCTAAAACCATCCACTGTTCCCCCTCTGGAAATGTCTCGCAAATGTATTTATAGTCTTTAAACTTTGTGGTATTCTTGTGGTATTCTATTAATTATTTAATGGGTTTGATGTTAGAGGAAAAAACAACAAGTAGCCTAATGTTGTGACTTGGTAGAAAAAAAATATTGTCACACAGTCCCAAGCTGTGTTGCAGACCACCCAAGTCCCAACATACAACATCAATTTTGAGGCATCCTTATGCAATATTCCTGCCTGCATTCAACTGCAACAAATATATTTTCTTCTTTGGGAATGGAGAGGGAGGAAAACGTAAAGACAAACATTTCCCTGTGCAAACTTATGTTTTTCTGTGTATAAAACATGTAGAAAGTTAGAACTCTAAGTGAATTGAGTCCCCTTGTTCAGCTGCCTCCCACATTCACTCAGCCTGCAGCTATAACAATGTCAGCAACATTTAGCTGGATATGCGCACTCGTCACTTTAGCTTGTTATCACCTGTCAAGTGAACAGGCCAAGTGCAATGCAATTAAGGTTCAGCCTAAATACAAGTGTAGATTCACCAAAGCTTTGAGACAATATAACCAATGATATTTTTCTTGCAAATGAGTTGCCATAGGTAGACTATTTTAAAGTGTTGTTTGCAGCACAAGCTACATTACTGTGATGACCATAAAAATGGCCTTGGTGTTCGTTGTTTGATACAGTGGTCTTGACTACAATGCTAGTCCAAAGTCTTTTGAAGCCTCCAAGCATTTTTTTCCCCCAGCATTTCCCTGTATTTACAAAAGGTTTACTCATTTTATCATCAACTGTAACCTGCTTCATCCTCTTTGTTGAATAAATAAATACCAACAGCATGATTCTGTAATCATTTTATGCATTTCAACAAACGTCTGAGGCATTAAGAAGGAAATCTCTATTCATTGTATATTCAAAAGTTTCAAATGTATGTGTCATTATTCTATTACTTGGTATTCAAACCCTTCTTTGGGATGGTTTATGCCATAAAATTAAAATACACTACATAGAAGTTTGTGGTTTTAACATAAAAAAGTTAACATGTTTAAGGGACATGAATACCTTTGGAAGACGTGATTGATTATGCCTTTTATCCCTTAATAGAACTCACCTCGCTCTTGAGCAGCCTACCTGCAGTGACGTAGTGGAGTGAGCTCGAGATAGATATCCACCACCCCCATAATGCCAATCTCTCTCTGCGTCTACAGGACCATCCCATTCTATGGAGGGATGTCTGCTCAAGGAGTGACTGAAATGGCACAAATACCTAATCAGTGCAAACAATTAAGGGAACTATGAAGGTGGAGTGAAATTAAAGTGAGCTACAGTTTGACTCAAAAATGTAGTGATCATATCAGTTAGAACATCTCATTGTACTAAACATTCCCTTAAATGAATTGAATAAACACAGACAGTTTTTCATCTTTGTGTACAGTGAACCTGACCTGGCTGGTTTAAAAAGTTCCTGTCTTCGAACAGGCTGGTGACTCTGCGGCCTTCCCACGTGGCTCGGCCCTTCCCTCTGATGGATTATTTTGACTTTTGGCAGGTCGGCCATCGCAGCGTACTCCTCCCTGTTCCGTCCTGTCGATCCAACAGAGACCTGGCCCGACTCAGTGGACTCCATGGAGCTTTGCGATGATGAGTGCATTTGAATCTGCTGTGATGGAGAGGGGCTCCTTGCATAATGAGAAGACCTCTTTTCATGTAGAGGTTGATCATCGTGGCCATAAGTACCAATCCTAGATCTCATGATGCTAGAGGATCTGGATGTTTCTAAAGTAACATGGGCATCTTTGTTGTTATTTAAAGATTTTCTGGATGGCGAAGTAGCACTAGATAAAGAGGAGCCGTGGCGGGAATGTGTGGATCCTCGCTGTGAGAGTGATGAGGAATGTGAGTCATATTTTGATTTACCACTGGTGTTTTTTGTCTCAAAAGAACCATTTGCATCTCCTTTGGTGGCACTTCTAAGGACGGAGTAGCCTGGGGGGTCATTATTACCTTTTCTGGAAGGAGAGGGAGTGCGGCTAGTGTGTAGGTACTTGCTGTTAAATGAGCTTCCAGTTCGCATATTTCCAGATGAGTGATAGTCAGAAGCATAATGGGTTCCCCTCAAAGCCAATGAACTCTCATTATCATGGCTTCTAATGGAGCTAGCAGTCTCTGTCTTCTGTTGTTGAGATTTAAAAGTAGAATCAAAGTTTTTCCCTGAAACTGAAGATTTTCGCTTTTCATGAACATGGCCATTTACTGATCCACCACTGTTATGTCTTCCTTGGGTAAAAGTTTCCTGACCTCTTTTTGAAGGAGAGGAAGAGCGGCTGCCCCAGGATCGACTGCCACTTACAGTGCTTGACTCAGTCTTTTTAAGTATGGATTGTCTTGGTCTATCAGAATCATGGCTAGATGAAGAAACAGTGACTTCACGTTCCTGATCCATCAGTCCGTTTCTAGTTGCTAGGTTACGCAGCTGGGCCTGGCGTTCTATCCCATAACCCTCTCTTACAGGGGAGCCACAGCGCCTATGATGACTGCGCTCATTTAGAGATGTAATTGATTTGGCTGATTTATGATGGAAAGAGGGGCTTGTTGACCTTAAATTTCCTTTTGGTTGCATGAATGATACTGGAGAACCACTACGTTGATGGTTACTTCGCTCGTTTAGGGATATCATGGATTCAGATTGATGTAAGGAATGGCTCGACGAGTTAAAATTACTCCTGGGTGGCTTAGAAGATACCGGAGAACCACTACGTTGATGGTTACTTCGCTCGTTTAGGGATGTGATGGATTCAGATTGACGTAGGGAATGGCTTGATGAGTTAAAAGTAGTCCTTGGTGGCCTAGAAGATACTGGGGAACCACTATGTTGATGGTGACTATGCTCATTGAGGGAAGTAGTGGATTCAGATTTACGCAGGGAATGGCGCGATGAATTCAAATTTCTGCTTGGCAATGTGGAAGATACCGGAGAACCACTACGTCGATGGGTACTTCGCTCATTTAGAGATGTGATGGATTCAGATTTACGGAGGGAATGGTTCGACGAGTTAAAATTACTCCCGGGTGGCCTAGAAGATACCGGAGAACCACTACGTTGATGGTTACTTCGCTCGTTTAGGGATGTGATGGATTCAGATTTACGGAGGGAATGGCTCGACGAGTTAAATTTACTCCTGGGTGGCCTAGAAGATACCGGAGAACCACTACGTTGATGGTGACTTCGTTCATTTAGGGATATGTTGGATTCAGATCTACCTAAGGAATGGCTTGAGGTGTTCAGATTTCTCCTAGGGGAAGAGGAAGTACGAATCTCCTGCATATGATCATACGTTCTGGATGGGGAGGAAATACGATGTGTCCAACTAGTGTTGACTTCAGTATTGGGAGACATCTTGAATGACGATGTATATTCTCTCCTTGAAGGAGATGAGCTCCTTTTCACATAATCTGTGCCCTTTAAAGAACAATCTGCTTCCGTTTTCCTTAAGGCATTCCTAAAATCAGAAACTGTACTGGACTGGGACATAGAAGGAAAGGATTTGAAGTTTTTTGGCAGAGTTCCTGACTCCAAACGTCGACCTTGAGAACCTTGTATGGAGAGGCTTGATCTGTCCATTTGTCTTTGAGACCAACCTCCACCATCAAAGTTTGTCCTGTTAAGAATGCTGCTAGGCTCACGGTGTCTTAACTGCAAGTTTTCCCGTGATGGGGATGAAGAGCGAGAATGCAGAGCTGAGCCTTGCCTTGAGGAATTATATCCACCTCTTAAACCTTTTCGGCCAGTTGAGGCCAGCGACTCCGCTATTTTAAAAGGAGTAGGACTGGGGGATCGAGGCCCTACTTGGGCTTCGACCTCAACCGCAACCTCATAAGGGTCTGGTGGGGGGATATCTGCTGTAAGGTCCTCACTGAACACGTCTGGTATTGGCCTTTCGGAGGCAACTCCAAGATTGGGATTTCGGAAGGGGATAGTATCCTTTGGCTCAATGTTTCTGTGACTAAAGATTGGATGACCTCTTTCAAAATGGCGAAAAGGAGTAGGTTGGCTTTTTTCATTAAAACGGGCACCAGCTGCCCTCCCAAGTGAGTAGTAGCCACTTTCACGCTTCTCTCTATCTTCTTTTACATCTGGAATAGAATGAAATAAGGACTGATTGGCTAGTTTCTACGAAAAGGGAATAGAAGACGTTATAGAAAAAAATATATATCAAGCTAAATTTCAGCAAAAGAGCAAGCACCAGAGTTTTCCTAGCATGCACACACAAAAGAATACTAAAAAAAAAGGAGTCTTGAGAGGTGTGTGCTATTTGTATCTGTGGGTGAGATGGCCACATGCAGGTGCTGCAAATATACGGTACAATCTCCCATTGCTCGTCATACCAAAGGTGGTTTGTTGAATTAGGGTCAAATGACTGGGGAGTAAAGCTGCACGATATTAAGAAAACATGTGGTATGTGATTACATCGGTGAATGCAACCATAAAATTAAATATCATAGAAAGGTTGCTATAGGACAGGGTATCTACCACATCCTTACCTTTAAAAAACATATTTTATGACACAATAAACAGCAACTGGAATGCACTGCAATTAAATAATAGCTAACATTTGGTGCAATCAAAGCACTTCCTTGCAAAGACTATATATCATACAGGTATTTGCAATGACTCCAAATTTGAGCTTTGTGACAGTTTTTGGCAGGAAGTACCTTTCAAAAATGGCTACATTGAGATAATATAGATTAGACATCATTTTGAACCCCTCTGCCCATTCTAATTTAAACACAGCATATCTATGCATTCAGCACCTTTGCCACACCTAGATCTCTCAAGGCATTAAGTTGCTGTCATGTGGTTAACAGCAAGGAATTAAACCAGTGTACCTAGAGAGGAGCGGGTAGAGTATATATTGTATTACTGATAATTAGTCTTTGACACCTCAGATGCTGACTGCAGATGGGGATTGTGAGAAAAGGACACCTGTGGTAGTAACTTGATCTAGAAGTAAAATAAGTCATAGGTGTACTGGTGACTGGTTATACTGCTTCACACAATGTCCGCAACTACATACCTTCAAAGATCAGGAGATCTTTTTCTCTGACATTCAAGAGTCTTCCTAGTCATGCACCTTTTCCATTGAAATCTGAAAGCCTAAGAATTATGCTAGCAGTTTTGATCTCACCTGAACCTCTAGAAAAGCTGCCTCCACCTCTGGTTTCCTCCATCCAGGCCTGCCGAGGGTTGGGCCGGTGAGGTGGAGGGTCCAGCCGGGTCATCCTGAGTTTGGTGGGTTGACGTCGAATCGGCAAGTATTCGTCGTCTGTACTTACAGAACAACTGAACTCTTCGCTCTGCTCACGACAGCTGTTTGGAAGATTGACATACGTAGACGTGGGATGGTGAAACTTCAAAATAAAGACAACCAAAGAAGAAGTGAGAAGCACCAGAAAAATTTTAATGTGACTGCCTTAACTTTAAGCTGATCTCCCTACATGACTAGAATAATTCAATCAAACATATTAAACCTTAAATTAAAATGTCTAGCTTGTCTAAATGTCCTCCAGTTATAATCCGGTTCTCCTACCTGTCTGTGCTGTTGTCGTCCTCACAGATATAGAGCTTGCAGTCAGGGCTCAAGATGCACAGAGAGGTCTCCACATTACCCGCCTGACCTCTGCTGACATCACAGTAGCTGCTTACCACTGAAACGCTGTCAGAGTCCTCCTGATAGGGCGACAGGGAATGACACGGACCAATCACAAAGTGGCAAAATAACCCATCTTTCTCCAAGCTGCAATGACATTGATCTCAATCCTCAAATCTTTAAAAAACAGTCTAAACCCAGATGTGATAAAAATTATGGGAACCACTAAAGTGTAGATGTTTGGAATGGAGTTACACCCCCAGGAATTTTACAGATTACACTCCAAGTCATCTCTGACAGACGCTCACATGTTCATACTGTTTGATTAGAGTCACACGTCTGTAACCTGATCAGACTTGTGGCTTTCCTCATTAATTTTTCAACATCCTATTCTTTTTTTTTTTTTGCTTACATCATTATCTTGAAATGCTAAAAAAAAAAAAAAAACTCTGCCAGAAAGTGCTGTCTTCAAGGACACAGCTGCCTTCAAGGAAAGAAAAAAATACCTTATTAATGTAAAAATGTTCTTGAAACAAACAAAAATAATCCCAATGGCTGAAGCTTCAATATTAAAAGTCAAGGAAAGAAACAAAGGCAGTAAAAAGCTTTAATCCTGTTAATTCTTACTCTGCATTGCACTTCTTTTTAAAAGGCTACCGTTTCCCTGGAGACCAGTAATTGATCCAGGCTCATTCATTTATAATAGGAGCCACAGCTGTTACCTTGGTCCACGTTATCACCTCTGCTGTGACCTGTTTATTTTTCTTTCTTTACTAAAAAGCAGCAAATGTCTTTATGATCTCATTGTCTGTTTTCATGTCTGCTATAAATGAAGGTAACTGCCACCTTTGTTCACTTAAAACAGACCTTAAGGTTAAACTATATATATTTTTCTAAGTCAGATCTTAAGAGGCAAGAATAAAAAATACTGTTTTCATCTAACCTCCTTTACCTTTCTGCTGCCTTGACCTTTGACCTGAAAGTTCTGTCAGCCAGACTGTTCCCTAATCCAAATTAATCCAATCAGTCAGCACCCATTGTGTTCTTGTTTTACACAGAGCACCTCTTCTCCAGGTTACCCCGCTTCCTTTCTTACCTTGCAGCTGCTGCTGGTGTCTCCTTCCTCTGCCTGAGATGAGATGGGCGTCAGCAGCGCTCTCCCACTCGACCCGACCTCCCTTCCAACTCCAGCGCTTTTCTCAGTTTTATCCCCATCCTGAGGCAGAGGTTTCTGCTGATGCTGTGGCTCGGTTCTTTCTGCCACACTTGTATGAAGGTGTTTCTGGCGCAGGCACTCGTGGCAGCGGGAGGGGTCAAAGATATTGGGTTGGAACTTGGGACATGTGGGCTCATCGCTGGAGTGGGACATGGCAACTCTGGACAGGGAGACTCCCTGATCATTGCATTCCAGGTGTCAAAAAATTATTTTCCATTAAAAAAGTAAAAAAAAAAAAACTATATTATCAGGAATCATCTTGTGCATCCCATGAGGAATTGGGAATATTTTATAAACAGCTTCGTAGAGGACTGTAGCTGCTTTGTTTCCTATTCAGCCAAAAGCATTTGTGCATCATTGACAAAGTAAGAATCATTAATTTTATAGTTCATCCACTATTAAAGGATTTTACATGCTGCGAAAATTTAAGAGCAGATATTCATTCTTTGCATACGCAAAGCACCTGAAGAAAAAGCAATACTGCTAGACATCAAATATGTTCTCAAGTTCAAAAACGAATGTTTCTAAAAAAAAAAAAAAAAAGTCTTAAAAGAGAAATAAAGACAAGAATTTTTGAATGCCAGAGGATAATAAAAAAAAATGCATTACCATATCAGAGAGGCTCCTGCTGTTTGAACTGGTGGATAAACTGGTCAAACCCCCACCACCAACATGCCTACTATTCCCCATGCTCTCTATGCTCCTGGGCTAATAGAAAACATTGCTTCGATCCTATTGGCTGTTTTGAGAAGAGGGCGACGCTAAAGCATCTATGACATTCTTAGTTGATTCATCGCATCACTGTCCCTGCAGCAAACATGAGCTATGAACCAACATGGAGCCATTGGTTCCCTCTTTGGGGCGGTTGTATTAAATATCATGGGCTGTAGAAAGCAAAATGAAACGCTGGGGTGACAGCTGGCACGTGTCGGCTCGGGTTAACGTAAATAAGTAAACACTAGCCAGTTAGGGGCGTTTAATGTACATTACAGATAAATGTTGCTCTGAACCTTGGAGCCTTTTAAACTTACACACATAGAAAAAGTATTACAGAGGAAATACAAAGCTGAGGCTCTGTTTCCTGATGAACCACAGAGGATGTTGACTACAGCATCATGTTTCCTAATTAAACAATAGAACACAGAGGGACAAAATCCCAAAGAGAACAAACTAACTTTATTCGACACATCACTTCCTGGTAAAATCATGACATATTTATTCATAAAGTTAGATTTGTTTTATAAAAAAAACTTCAAAACAGTTCAAAAATACAAGATATATCCAGAGGCAAATATTAATGAACTCCAGAGTACTGAGAAAATGTAGAGGAGAACATCTTCATCCTTCTGTTTGAAAACAGAATAACAAACTGACTTTGATACAAAATGTCCCATCATTTTAGAGGCTGCTTTTCACATGCTGCCGTTTAGTCCAGATGTTGCATCTTCTTCCCCGTCTGCCTACGTCTCTGCTTCTTGCTGGTCCTCCCACCTCTGCGGACCCCCTCTGTGACACCGGGTCTCTTGTCGGTCCGATGTCCTCGTCTACCTCGACCTTCCTGCTTCCCTTTCCTCTTCCGCTTGCTGGTGCATGTGCTGAGTGCCGTCGTAAGGGAACGGATCCTGTAGTGGGAGAAGAGCGAAAAGATCGGATACGGACTGAGAGCAGGCAGGTAGAAATAGATTAAAATCACACAGCAATTGTGTCATCAGGGAACCAAAAGAAGAAAGTAGTAGGTGTGATTGTCTACTCTACCAGGGTCTGAAGCAGAAAGCAGTGAAACCTTTTAACCACCATGGGATTTAGCATGGCTCGTACTAAAGCCCCTGTCACACCTTGGGGATTTATCCAGCGTATACCTGACGTCCCAGAATCTTCTAAAATGCTGGGATACGCTGAACTTTCTATGTATTTTTTTTATTTTAGGCGTATACATAGTTTTCATAACGAGTCCAGAACTTATGTCAAACGACAGCTTAACTTATGCATAACGTATGGCAGCATAAATGCCCATGAAATGTCACAAGCCAGTGTCCTGAGGGAGGCAGCAATGCGTCCGGAAGCACCCAGCCTGCATAAAAAGATTTATTTGATCGCGGTATTAGCCTTGCTGCAGTTTACCACCAGTCAAAAAAAAAAGAAATAAAGAGAGAGAGAGAGAAAAAAAAAAAAAGAGGGTTTGTAGTCGCTGTAGATTCAGTGTCATGTCTGCTAGGAACTTTGTTGTTCGTGCCTGTGGACGTAAACACAGGGAGGATCCATCACACTCACCTTCGCGTTCACTCTAAGGTGGAGATAAAGTCTGGAGGAGAACTGACAGTTTCCTCCTGAAAACCCCCTTTTATACCAAAACGCTGCCAATACGCCATTAAACAATAGCTGCAAGTTAGAAGCACATTCAGTGGTTGTCTGGAACACGTCAGATACATTGATATGCTTTGGAGGCAAGTTCTTGATAAGTTACTCTTTAGTTATGCACAACTTACTAATATGTTTTGGATAAACTAGACACCACACTTATGAGTAACTTACACTTAACGTATGTCAACGATCAAATAACTTACCTGTAACTTATGGCCCACGTATGAGCATACGCAGGCAATTTCGAGCATGCTCAACATTTCCTGAGCATAATCAAAATTTCTCAAAGTACTTTGAGTCAGGCATACGCTGGCTAAATTGTCATGGTGTGACAGGAGCTTAAGGTACGATTTTCACAAAAACTTTTAAAACCAATAAAAGTTTTAATTTTGCCTTTCTGACATTTTGAATTCAAAAGCAGCTGATTAAGTGTCCAATTAACACAGAAGTGCCCTCTCCTCATCTGTTGCTAATTACTGTCAGTCAGCCGACTAAAAAGAAAAACAAAATTTTTGAAACTTTTCCCGTCATTAAGCAGTGTCTGACTTTAGGAACGGAAGAAGCTCCATCCGTCAATCCTAAACACACAACTGTCTTTGATCGGCTGCATTAAGGATGATCGTATCCTAGGCTTGTTAACAGAGCAGGAAACTGAATAAATTGACCGACTTTAGTAAGGTATATTTGTGGTTATATATACTCTTATACATAGCAATCTTTTTCTCTGAGATTACAACATTTAGACTTTTTTTTTAATAATAACTGGAAAAAAAGAGGAATTGCTGAGAGGAGTTAACTTACTTTTTGTTCATGATCACATCCCTTGGTTTTTTCGGCATTGTGTGCCTTTTTGCTTCCACCTCGTCTTTATTCTCACTCTCCTCACCGGCCTTTGAAACAGAGCAATCCAAGTCAGACGCCTGACAATAACCCCATAATCTACGTCACACACAAAACCACAGGGACGTTTACATCATTTGTTGCAGGGGCGAGCAGGTGACCCCCTGTGAGGTCGAGATCACTGATGGTTGTCACGGTAACAGTGTGGTTGGGGTGATCATATTGAACAGACTCTGTGGTACTGATCACAGCATCTTCAAGTTCGTCTTCTGCATCATCTGCAAAAGAAAACATTGAAAAGAAAAAAATAAAGTGTGACCAAAAATAGTCATTAAAGTTTGTAGAGCTCCTTTGAAACTCACCAAGCGCCTCTTCCCTCTCCTTCAACATCTTTATATATTCTTTATGACGCTGAAAAACAAATAGAATATGAGTCAAAGAAAATCCAGCCCATTAATTGACTTAATTTTGGTTTTAAGTTTTGTTTTTAACACTCACTTCTTCTCTGACTCTGCTCTGCTCTTCTTTTATTTTCTTTTTTATTTCTGCCACTGCTGCCTTCCTTCTTTCTAGTTTTCGCTTATGGAAACCAGTCAGATAGTCCCTGGCAGAGGATAAAAGGAACAAAAACATTAAGCAAATTAAAAAAAGTATGTTGCAGGTTAAAGCCATTCAAAATAGCCTGATATTCTATGTCAACTACTGGGATTAAATATAAACAATAAATATGCTGGCTTTACCCAAATAGAAATGATTTACTTCACATTTATCACGCATTTCGCGCATCTAATCACATCAGCTGATATAAAAAATAAAAAAACAGGAAAATATTGTTATGATGCTAGGCTAACATGTTAGCTAGTTGGCTAGCAGCTTCACCGTAACGTCACAACTACTCACTGTCTGTCTTTGTCGTCAAACGTCACGACGCATTTATTTTCTCTTTTCTTCGAGCCAGGCTTGAATTTAGCCTTTTTTGATCCAGTATTGTTGTGTTTAGGGTTTTTCATGTTTAACACGTGAGTCTCCACAGAGTTCCGTCAATAAATGATGTCCGATGAGGAACACGCGCGTTAACTTGTGGTCCCAGTCGGACACGACACCTTAATTAATTAGTGTGTTTAATGTAAAAAAATAAATAAAATAAAAAAATAGAAAATGTTTCAGCATTTTTATTATTTGTAAATATTTGTATTTGTAGATATATCTATATGGCAAGAAGTTAAATAAAATATACCAGTTTTAAAACTTTTTAAGAACATTAATTTCAACCATCCTTAAATAAATGCATTTTGTACTTTTGTTTTAGTAGCACAGATATAAGCAGAACACATTTATTTATTCTCATTTGTTTATCCTTTATCATTTAAAATGTTACTAATTTATAAAAAAAACAATTCAGTCCATAGAAGAGCCTTTTATATTACAGACTGGTAAACAGATGGCATGCAGCACAAATAACCACTCTAACACATTAATGTATAACAGCTTAAATAGCTTTTTCTGTTTATGAGACATTATTTTAGAAAGCAAAAAATGTCATGTCAGCCCCTACAGGCCTATGTTGAATAATATATATAACTATATTATAAAAGGTCATGCCCCTCTAATAAAATTGGACATGTATGAGTTGGAAAATGGGAAGAACATTTCAGCATTGCTGAGGTCTCTGAACATTCATCCTAACATACAACAAAACGTCTGGTAAAAGGTCACCATTTAGCCAAAAAGCACACAAGTGCATTCAGTGTACACAACCCCTCCTCCCTCGAAAAAAACAGGATATATGCATGAATACCTCATAGCTGCTGTTTCACACTTTAGTGGTGGTGTGATCATTATGATTTAATGCTAAGGTTTGTTACTGAATCACAAATAAACTGTGTCGCATATCCTAAACTTCTGGAGTTTTTCTCCAAGTGGGTCAAGAACTCAAATGGTTTAATGAAATTGGTCTGTGTGCATTGCTTGAAGAAAAATACCACCCAACTTTACAATGTTTCAAACTCTTATCAGATAAATGCTTAAACTCACACCTGCCAACACCCAGCACAGTAATAGAGAGGAAACATTTTTTTTCTCTTCAGCACTATGACCAAAGAAATTCATAACGTCGAACCTATTCACATATTTTCTGTTACAAACTCAAATTCTCAATGTTTTATAGTGTTTTTATGTCATAAACCAGGGGTGCCAACACTATTTCAGCATGTGAGTTTCTAAAAGCAGAGCTGGAGAACGAATACTTTGTTTACAAAAAAAAATCTTTATCTGCAAAATACTTCTGTGTTGACTCGCTATTTGCCAGACTGAAATAAAAATGTAACTTTTTACACAGGTTGAATAATCTGCTGTTTTATTAGAAAACAATATAAGGACAAAATAAGCAAAACAGTTCAAACAATAAGACTTTTTGAGGGAGGAAAACAAAAAAGTAACAATTACAACAATAGAAAACTCCAAGAGCATGATGCCAGCGAAAACATCACCTTTTTTTTTATTTGTTTAGCAGTCAGAGAAGCTAAATACACACTGTAAAAGATTTTCAGTGCTAATCAAATAGTAAGTTTGTGCTCAATATAGTCCTTAAATTTCCAAACTGTAAGTTTGTATATTAAAAAATGTACTTTAACAAGGAATTACATTTGTATAAAAACATTTTGTTTTTCATCGTTCCTGTCCTTACGCTGATTTTACAGACAAAAAAATTATAACAAAGCTCAACACTAACCCCCAAAAGCCTTTTATCTCACGCAACCATTAAATAAGATATTCAGAGCAAAGAAACAACAAAAAGCTCCGCATCACGTCCATAATTACAGGTAAAAAGCTAATTGAACAGAGACATCAAAAAGATACGACTTGATCTTTCCAAATTGACACAACATAAAAAAAATATTCTGTTTCTCTCACTTTTTTTTTCTTACATAACATAAAGGGTGTTTTGCTTGAGAGCGTCTCATTATAGATGGACCTGACTTCCAGGGAAATAAAATAAAAAGTGTACGAACCACTAAAGGGATATGCAGCCGAGACTGGTTTGGAGGAGAGGAATGCAACAGAAAGCTGGATTCACTCCAAACAAGCTTTAAGCTGCCGGCTTTTTGCCTCAGGCAGCCTAAGCCGACTGCAGCTGCTGTTCCATGACATCCCTAAAGCTGCAATAAAAGCGGTTTGTGGCGTTAACTGGAAGGCTAGGACAGTTGACCTTGCACTAATGTGCTGTTCTGCATGTGCATCGTCTCAAGACGCAAAGAACATCATCTTCTCTCTACTTCTGACTATGTACAACTTATATACAATTACTCTATCTGTATTCAATGCAAGAGAGTCTGCATATTTCTGCCTTTGTGTTTAAAAAGGACTTTTTTTGAGTCGTTACTCCTTCTAAAAATCAGACAACTCCCAGTCCTCTGATATTTAACAACATATGATTGCATTTTCTGCAAATATGGTATTTATTTGTCTGTATGTCGTGCTGCTCAATCCCATAATCCGAGCACAGCAGGCCAGCTAAGTTAGATAACTAGAGGGCTGTAATAAAATTCAGCATCAGATGATGAAGTCAAATTTCAGGCAAACTGCTGCGTCATTTTCCTATGCTGCGCCGTGGTACAGTGCTGCCTTTCTACGGTGTTTGAGGTAGATAAAAAGACACTACTCAGCACTGCACAGTTCTAAAAGCTGGTCTGCCTCCTCTGCTGTGGAATACTAAAAGGAAAGTGTAGCAGTAATTCAGCCACTCATTAGTGAGAGCTCATAATGATTGCATTACTTCATCTTAAAACGAACCTACTTTGCTTATATTAAGCAGCGGTTAGCTAATGGTCCCTTTCCCGCTTTTTTTTTTTTTTTTTGGAGCCGTCAGGATTGTTCCACTGTAGCAGTCTGTGGGTTTTTCTGGAAAAGATTAAGTTAAATTTTGATCTAGCTTGTCCGAATATGGCTGATGAATGAGTGTCAGTTTGAAGGAACGCTGTCAGTACCACCAGAAGGCCAGACGGTGGAGTCAAAGCACTGTAACAATTTGAGATAGGGTTGAATTTAAAAAGTGTGTTGTGATCCCACGTTTCACTCAGTGTATGTCCAACAATGACCAGCTGTTTCAATATTCCATGAGAACATTAGTCTTTGCATGAAGGCAAAGATACAGAGGTGGTTGTTGCACCGGGCGCCTTCAGGAAGCGGCGATGGTGGTGCCTCCGCTGAGGCGCAGCAGGATCTGCTGGCAGTCCTGCACCGACCGACGATCCCCGACTCGCTCCAGCGTCCGTTTGGCCTCGGCCAGCAGGCGGGCTCGGTGGCCGGGGGGGGTAAGCAGAGGCATGGGCAGGTGGCGGCAGGCGAGGAGAATGGCGTGAGCTCTCTCCCTCTCACCCACGACGCACTCGCCGTCTATTACAGGTGACAACAAAACAAAAAATTCAATAAATGACCACAAATTTAAATGTTTGCACTTCTTGTGTCCGAACACAAACCAGAGAGAGGCAGAGAGAAAATGATAAATGTGTTATAAATATTAAAATTATAAAAATTCAAAAGTACAAAACATCCCCAACGGAATGATGCTGCCACAGCTAGGGATGTTCAGGTTAATATGCACCTTTAGTTCTCACATGAAGCGATGAACATGCATGGTTTTTAGCAACCTTTAAACAGGATAAAACTCTGTTTTTTGTTCTGTCAAAGCTTCTAACTGTGATTTAAACTCCACAATTTCCTCCCCAACCTGTCAGCTTTTTATTTTGTCTTAATGATGCATTGATTTCCTGCAACCTAACAAATCTAAATGAGATTATGCTGAAATTAAATCAAGCACGCATCTTTTTCCTTCAATTTCACAATTTTAACACTGCTTTGCGTTTAAACTTTTTTTTTTGTTAAACATCACCTGACATGTTTTCAAATGACAAACAGCAAAAAAAAAAACCCAGAGGAGTTACTTATAGCAGCAGTCAGAGCCACAGCCCTGAGGATTCGACTGAGGTTTGGGCTTGTAGTTGATGTCTAAATGAGTCGTTACCGGCTGAGTAGGAGCTGTGCGTCCTGCGCCGCAGGTTGTGCTCCAGCAGCTGGTGGGTCCTTGTTGGACTGGCTCCAGCTATCAGCCTCACTGTGGTCTCATGGAGGAAAACCTGGGAAGAACAAAATCAAAGAGAGGAAGATCCACCTGGAGTGTGAGTTTTATCATCTCCTATTGGGGAGATGAAATAGATCAGAACCTGTGCACACAGGTTCTGATCTTTTATTCATCTGTAGTGAATTAAATTTGAACTAAGAAGCAGAAACTGAGCTTTTGTGGAATAATGAACAGAGATTGATTTTTTGCATAAATCTCTGCTGTGATAACTTGTTAATTTTCAGCAAATGTCATTAACCTACTTCTTAATTCTGTCAAATCTCTCCTTCAGGAAGGAATGAGCTGATGGAGCTTAATCTAAGCCCTGTGTACCTTGTGTTGTGCCTGTCTGTAGCACTGTGTGAGCCTCCTGAGGGCGCTCAGGTCCCTCTGGAAACCGGCCAGCTGGGACCCGGGAGCTGGAACCGGTTCTCCGTTACTGCTGCCTCCTCGTTGCCACAAACTGGTCCTTAATGTCAGCAGCAGATCACAAACAAGTAGCTCCACCCCCTTAGGATCATTTAAGAACAACCACAAATAAAGAAATCATTAACATTTTATAATGACATTGATCAAAAAGTTGGGAAAAGAGACGAGAGGCAGATCTGAGCAGCCATACTCTGACCCCATCACCTGCCACCAACCCAGCATGCACGGCAGAAATCAAGCAGCGGCTGTGTTACTGATTCTCAGAGCGATGGACTGTTTTAGGTGTTGAGGTGTGTAGCGGGTGCGTGCAGACCGGAGAGGCCTCTGTACTGCACTGCAGAGACATTGCACTCGGATTCAGGATCATGCAATGCAACTACAATGCACCACAGCCACCTCCTTCCACCCACACTGCGCCCACACACGACCCCACGCCAGCCTGTCCTCGCCAACACCCAGCATGCAGCGTGTTTGTGTCGGTGCATTAGGAGAGGGTATAATCAGAAACGAGGCGTGAATGTAAAGAAGAGGAAAGGAGATCAACTCTAACCCTTGTAACCACAGAGGAAGCTTAAACCTCAGGCGGAAGAGGAAAAAAGGAGAGTTTCTGTCCACGGTACCTTGTTGAGCCAGTTCCCAGGCTGGGCGAGCGGCAGAGAGATGCTGGAGCGCAGGTAGCTGCTGGCTCTGTCGCAGTGAGAGAGGCAGGCCACCACCCCGTCTCCTTTCAGAGGAGACAGGCTCATCTGAACCACCTTACAGAGCAGGAGCACAGCTTTGGGCAGAGGGTGGCTGAAACAGGAGATGAACACATTCCACGCTTAACTTTAACTTAGTTGTTTGGCAGCTTTTGATGTTTAAAGAACTGCTTTGATTCAACTGCTACCTAATTAAAGCTTCCCCAATGAGAGAGAAAACCCACATAGATCCATTCAAGCTAGATTCCAGTCAATGACAAACTGTCTTATTTATTAACATGCAGGAACATGGTGATAAAAAACAGCTGCATCTCTGTTGTTTTCAGATGTTTATTAGGTCTGCACAGGTTATTCTTTAAACTGAGGAGTTAAAATTTAGGTCTTTATAAAAAACAACAAGAGTTTTTCTTTTAAAGGAGACTATCATCTATGGCAGGCAAACAGAGAAATATATATTTCTGTTAAAATTTGTCTTTTTTTATGTAAAAAAAACAAAACCAAGAATAGACACATTTTAAAGGGGTTGCTAATATCTTTGGAAAATTATAATTATAAACCAACACTTAAAAAGATAGAAAAATATGTTTGTTCAAATTAGTTATTTTGTGAGTTAAGAGAAATTAAACAAGCTTTGACTTCAGCTCGGCTGATAGAACTATTTTATTAGAAAAAGATAACTTTTATTTAAAACATTCCACAGTAGGTTGCTAATATTTTTTTTAGATGTTAAAAGATCCCCCACTTTAAAAATATATATATTTCTGTAATAATTGATCACAGTTTTTTGAGTTCAGTGCAGTTAGTCAGTGAAGAAAATGCTAAAACATGCTTTTATTAGTATATCTGTTATTAAAATAATATTCAGCTCTTCAGTATTTTTAGCCCAAGTGATGAAAAGCCACTGTTGAGTGTCTAAAACGCCACAGACTCCAGATCTCTGGTCTATGGAAACACATCAGCTGTTTATTCAGCCTGTTGCTTTTCAACCTAGAACATTTTAACAGATATAGGAAGGGTTGAAACATTTATTTCCATTTGAAAACAGACATTAGGGTCATCATCTGTGAATTTTTCATCTGTGGACGTTTGACTTAAAAAAACGTCTTTGTGAAACAAACATCTTTGTGAATAACCAATGCTAACAGCACGCTAGCTGCTGTATGACAGATTTAATCCAAATGCTAACAATAAATCACAGATTTTCTTCACAAATCAAAGATCAGACACCACTGTTTAGAAAAATGGAAGAAAAAAAAAATATTCCCTTATACAGTAAATGTGGTTCTCATAAAATGTTTGTAATGATTAAAAGAAAATGAAAGGAATGAGATTTACAATCATTTCTGGAGGGTTTTCTCTTTGAAAAGATTTCTAATGAGGTTGAGAATCATCAGCAAGTATATCCGATCTATAGATTCACTTACTCCAGAATGAGCAGAGCCCTCGGCATTCGCTCTGCTTCTGCCAGAAGAGACTTCACTGCGACATCATCACCCTGCAGCCAATGAACTGCGGCTTTAAGGACCAGAGCCCACCAGCGACTCACCGGGTCGCCCACTGCTTATACAGAAACAAAAGGAGGTATATATTAAGAAGGGGGGATTCTGTGCTTCTGTTTGCAGAGTTGCTTTGCAGGTCATTCAAACCTGAAACCAAGGTGAGGGTGGGAGGAGTCGTGAACGGGGTTGGAGGGGAAGGAGAGTCCTCGGTGCAGGAGTTCAGCAGCTCTAGAAACTCCAGAGCGTTGGAGAATTCCCTGGAAAAGCATTCAAGACATTAGACAACATAACGACAGTGTAGAGCCTGAGCTCTCTGAAAGAGCGCCCTCCTTACCCCAGGTTGTTCTTGCAGCTGCCTCCATCCGACTCGCTCTGCGGCTGGATGAGTGTGTGAACGGCTCGTTCCAAAAGCTTCCTGCAGAAACAGCGGTGCAGCTGGGCGATGGGGTCGGCTACAGGAAAACATCAGTGAGAAGAATGTGACGGCAAACGGGCGAGTTGGAGAAGACGGATCGAAAGAGAGAGAAACACACCTGGGTCCCTCTGAGAAGTAAACACTTCATCGCTGCTGTCTGACTTCACAGACCAATCACAGCTCAGGAAAAACTGACGGCCCAGAGGGGTGAAGAGCCAGCGCAGGCAGTCGGGGATCTGCTTGCTCTCTGACTGGTTGGCCACGCTCTCTGCACATCCCAGAAGGTATCCCTGGGAGACAGAAGACAGGAAGCAAAGAAAATAACCCCCCTGCCTGTGTTTGGTCTTATTATAACAGCAGCGGAAATAAAGGTGACACATACAGACAGAAAGGTGAGGTGGTGGCAGAGGACGGTGCGCAGGGCTGTCGCTGCGGTGACATAAATCTGAGCGAACTGAGTCGGGGCCATCTTGCCTTGGGCGCTCTCGCTGAGGTTGACAGCACTCAGAGAGAGAGACAAAGCCCACAGGCTGCTGCGCTGAGGCAACTTTCCTATAAAGACAAGAAGAAAATCTATAATAATCCCCTCTGGGTAAACCGCCATCAGCCAGATTTGATTCTGTGCTTCACTTTGTTCCGACCTGTTAGCTGCAGCTGGCTCAGCTGATGATAAACCAACGCTGCATCTCTCGCGCTCGTCTTTGCCTCTTCTCCCTCGTACTTCCCCCCGACCTGGTGGACCAGCCAGCCAAAGGGCACCGGACGATGCAGACAGTAGCGGATGAGGTTCCAGGAGAGGGAGCAAACCAGGTCCAGACCGCTGGAGGGGAGAGCCCTCGTCAAGACAGAAAGGCAAGTCTCTAAGCTGGCCATGGCTGCTGTGTAATCCCCCTGCAGGAGAAAACGAGCGGAATGAGGGAGATGCTCAGTATCCAGTGCAGAAGATAAAAGCAGAAGGTGTCACGACTCATACATAAAAAAAAAAAAAAAAAAGGATTTGAACAAATGCTAAAAATATAAATAGGGGAGCAGGGAGGCTCAGTCGACACATCAAAGCAGAAAGAGACTGAAGCGTTCCTTAGTAGGTGGAATTAATTTAACCGAAAAAATAAATAAAGAGCTCAGCAGCTTTATGCTGGGATTTTTCCACTAAAGAAATGTAAGAAAATATTAGTTTTTTCTTTACTGAAATAAATCCGGACCATGGAACTACTTCATTGGTCACCTAATGATTGAAATATTTACTTTACAGTATATCTGCAACCGTCCTGTGAAGGTCTCTGAGGTTAGTTATTGAACAATCAGCATCATAAAGAGCAAGGAACGCACTAGATGGGCTAAAAGCTGAGTAACAATATAAAAAGTTGCTTGATCATCTCATTTGTACTCCTCAGATGACTGTAAGCTCTTTTGACCCAAATGAAACCATCCTTGAAGCTACATCTGTGGCACAGCAGACATGCTCTGATTGTTTAAAATGAAAAACAAACACTGCCCATCATCTGCAGTCATCACTCACTCTAAATCACACCATCTTTTTTATCATCTTAAAAATAAATTTCTCAGAAGCTTATTCAGCTCCTCCTTCAGATGGCAGCTTTTCTCCACTCACCCTGTTCAGATGTAGGTCTGCTTGTTTGCGATGTCTCCAGAAGGACACAGATTTGGGCGAGTGAAGGGGTGTGACCGGCTCCCAGAGGTACAGCACCCGAACACAGCCCCACAGTGCTCCCACGCCACTCAGGACCCACACGATCACCCACGGCAGAAGACAGCGCAGCCAAGAAGCTGAAAAAAGAAAAACAATGAGACAATCTCTTTCTGTAATGATCTAAATGAGAGAAAAAAAAGTTTTTTCCCCCTCCTAAAGTCACGATGAGAGGCTGCTCCTCACCAAAGTCCCGTGTGTGGGTGGGAAACCACACAAGGGTTCTGGATGGGATGTGGGCGGCCGTCAGGCCGGGGTTCCCCGGGGTCTCTGATCCCAGCAATGAGGGCAGCGGGTTTAGAGACAGGCAGAAGAAGGTAAGGGCACACAGAAGCAGCCGTGAACGATCCATCACTCCCACCGTGGAGGGAGAATCTGGCTCGCTCTTCACCTGGGACACAAATAGAGACAGAAATTGTTATTAGACTGAAGGAATTAGCTCGATTTGATGAACAATTACACCAATGTTCATATTTTTACAAAACAATTATGAGGCCACAGCAATGATGTAAAACTGAATAATTTTTAAGGATTTCAGTCTTTTTAGTGACAGTTCTGATGCTCTTGAACTACCCAATCTTAAAGCAAAACCATCGAAGGTATCTGAAAGAAATCCTTCAGTATGAGTGCTAGAAGGGAGCCTAACTGCAGCACCTCTTCCTTTACCCTCTATATCTAATATCAAATGTATCAAAGCATGGTTAAATCTGCCCTTTGACTGAAGAGAAAGACAAAAAAAAATTGAAATCCAATCACGTTTCCAACTCTGGTTTATAAAGCTGCTTTACCTGATGGTGATCCAGTAAGGGGCTGCCTGGCTCCGAGTCGACACAGTACGGAGAGAACTGGTGTGGGGATCCGGAGCCGGAATCTGAGGCCGGAGGGGACATCATCACGGCCTCCTGTTTGAGCTCAACGTCTTCCGACAGGATCACAGGCTCTGGGACAGAGAACAGTGCTTCTCAACATGCTAGAAATTATAAAATTGATCACTGCACAAACAGAACTCTCTAAAAGCGGTACGTCCTCATGTAGAGTCAACATGCCTGTGTAGGTTCTCAGTCATCTGGATCATGGAAACCGCAAAATAGACTAAAATCGGAGGCAATCTGACTTTTGCTCAGTTTTTTTGAAAATGTATCCACACCTTTCAAGAGGCCTTTTCCGATCTTGCTGTTCACTCTAGAGCAACCTGGATTTTGTGCACTGATGGAATGTGCTTTGCAGGATGGGCCCACAGGTGCTTAGAAACATCAGAGCTCAAACTACAGGTAGCTCTAGTGTGAGCCGTCACAATGATAGATGTCAGAGCTTTTTCTGAAAAACTGAGCAAAAGTCCAGTTACCTCCGATTTAAGCCTGTATTGTGGATGGGGGAGTTTTTAGTCCAGCCAACAGGTGGCGATACAGTGCAGACAAACATCTTTTTAAAAGAAGGTAAGAAGATTGGAATGGTGTCAAAATCATGCTGCTCCAGTTTTTTCTTCTTGTAGCAGTGGTTTGACTTGGAAGTTTTATTTTTGATGTGTGTCTTTGGCGCCACCTTTTGGTTTATCGGTGCAACCCCTGTGGAGGGAGCGTCCAGGCTCCAGTGGTGTCCAGGTCCAGACCTGAGGGGCTGGTGCCCCCATGTTTTCTTGTTATGACACACCATCTACATGCAAAGTTTTCACCTTCTAGAGAGCCACTCCATCTCCCTTTCTTGGCACATTTTAGCGCAAGTGTCTAATGATAAACTTAAACTGGCTGCCAGTTTAAACTGAATTCATATCCGTATACAGGAAGGCTGACAGGAAAAAAAATCAGCACTATATGCTTTTATGGAAAACGTTGGATTTAGAAATCTTTGCAACTTTCCAAAACCTCCTGAGTGTCTGTTCTTAAGGGAGACACATGGGGAATCGCTGCTTACTGTTAGAGGTGCTAGCTTGGCTAATGATGCTAAGCTAACAAGCTGAGAATAGCTTCAAACTCCAACTTCTTTTGAATTTGTTTTAAAATAGTTAATATGTGTTATACAGGAATTTATTTAAGACAGTTCCTCTGCCTGGTGGTACAGTTATAATCTTCATTCTGTATGTGGTAAAGATTTGGAAATGGAATGAGAGCGGATTCCATCAGCTAAGAACGAAGTGTAATATTTTGATAAGGCTGGAGCCATGGGTGTCTGCTCATCTGCTAACATGTATGATGTAAAATAAGATGATGTGGCAGACTGAAGATGTATAAAATGGATTTTTAACTGTTAGTCTGAGCCACTTCCTGAGAGGTGAGCCTGAGAGGTGAGCCTGAGAGGTGAGCCTGAGAGGTGAGCAGCTGCCTTCTGTTACTAAATAAATCTTTTGTCCGAGTAAGATTACAATTTCTATCAGAATCTGTTGCCATGTCTCCTTGTTATTTAATACATATAGGTATGAAATGTTATTTAAAGAGTTTGTACCAAGTGATCTCTTTTCAGGGAAATAAACTAGAGAGATAGAGCATCAAGGTGCATACACAGATTCTATCTTTACCATAATATAATAATTTCAACAAGGTGTCAAAATGGGAAAAGATGTAAAAGATGCAAGAAACAGGCCAATGAGGTCTGGAACTGGACACCACTAGTCCACATATTGACCAAATGTGGTTTAAGTCATGGTTCCGAGTGTGTTTGGCCATCTGTTTGACTGCAAAGATCATGTGATGTCATCGGTATCTCTTCTCACACATAAACCCTGATTATTCTGACTAGCCAGGTATTTGTTTAAAATTTTATCATTCATTTGATGAGTGTTGGACTTCTGAGCTCTTCCTTTGTGCTTATTCATGTATGATAGTGCAATCACTTTAAAGCTGCCTACCAGGCAAAAAGGCAGCGATAATGGGACCAACATCACATAAGCTTCACTTTCAACCAGATGGACAAACACACTCGGTAACATAAATGAAGCCTCACTGTTTTTCTGGTTGGCCATCTTGAGGGCGAGGTTCTCTTGTCGTAGTTTGTGGTTAACCTGCTGCAGGTATTTTATGTAGTCGATAGCTTTCCTCAGCACTCCTGACTTGTGCATCTGTAAAAATAAACACAGAACAAGTTGACTGTTAAACTAAAGCCTGATTTATTACCGTTTCAGAGAGTCTGTTTTATTTTCTCACCTTTGCGTCGTTACCCATGACCAGGTCTCTGAGCTCTATGATCTTATCGTTGATGGAGGACCTGTATCTCTTCTCGATGATGTTGTGGGTCGTCCTCCTTTCGCCCTCCTTTACCACAACACCTTGTCCAGCTATTCCTGCTGGCACCTGGCTCTGCTCCATGCTCGGTCTGGGGGCGTTGTTGCAGGGGGCGGGGCCTGACTGGAGTTGTTTGATGGGGAGCTTCTCTCCACCTCCCATCATAACAGGGACTGTGGTCAAGATGTTGCTGCCCATCAAGGTCTGGAAACACAAAACATGTGTAAGGTAGGAACCATCCTCACCGATTACGAGCCGACTGTAACAATTTTACCAACTCAGCCTACAGGGACTTGTAACGCTGTGTTCTGGATGGGTGTGGTCAGGGTGGTGATCCCTGTGGGGCTCTGCATAGTGGACAACACCTGCGTCCCGTCTGCTTTGAGTGTTGTTAGAACTAGTGAGTCCGTCTTAAGAATCTGAGGCTGCTGGACCAGAACCTAAAAGGATCAGAATGAGAGACGTTTGTGAGGATATAATATTAGCTTCTACTTTTAAGCATTAGTCGTACATTTCTACCTAAACCCTGATAAATTAGAGTTAAATTTTAACAAAATAAATTAAGTATCGAGACGACAAGGGAGGAAGGTTAAATCGATAGTTTGAAAGAATGAAGGAAGGAACAATTGTCAGATAGAAGGGATGATAGATGGAGAAAAGGAAAGAGATGAATGAAAAGGAAAAAAGAACAATATAGGGAAGGAAGGTTGGTTGAAGGATGGAAGGAACAAATAAAGCAAGGAAGGAAAGGAAGGAGCGATAGAAAACAGAAAAGAAAGTTGGATGAATGAACACCTGAAAGAAGGAGGGAGGAAATAAATAAATAAATCCATCTGATAAATACTTAAATAAGGTTAAATGTTTAATGTAGGAACTCTGTGTGTAAATAGGTCTGAGTTTGACGCCATCTTAGCGCTCCCTCACCGGTACTTGCTGCACCTGCTGCTGCATGGTGTGGACTGCAGTGGGCGCCGTAGAGAGAGTCTGGATAGTCTGGCCCGTTGGGGTCAGAACACGCTGATGCTGAATGGTGACTGGCTGCAGTTGTTGTGATGTCATGATGCTCTGCATCTGTGGCTGTAGGACTAAAAGGAACCAGGGAAGGAATGTGTTTAACTTACAGAAGGCAGAGAGGAAGCTATGACGGCGTGTTTAGCTCCTCTGTCCTACTCGGTGCTCACCTTGAAATCCAGGAGCAGGACTATGATGGCAGATGACAGGGTTCTGGATGAAACGGGACTGCCCCCCGTTGGAGGCAATCATCACGGTTTGTGGTGCTTGGGTCTGGATGGGCAGGGGCGTCTGGGAGTGGGTCTGAACCAAAGTGTGGACCGGGAAGTTTTGGGTCTGCATAGGAACCCCGTGGGTGTGCATCTGCAGTCACAGAAAACATAAATATCTGTCAAACTTGCTGTTCTTCCTCAGAGGACAGAAATGGGCTGACAGCTTGCAAAGAGCTTCACTGCTAACAGCTGTAAATAGAATCAATACCTGGATGGCCTGCTGGGCAGTCTGCTGAGGCTGAGGCTGGATGGGCTGGACCACCTGCGGGCGTGGCTGAAGCAGAGGTGGGCTGCGGGTCAACTGCTGCTGCTGGACAGAGGAGGTGGTGGTGGGGGAGGGGGTCTGTGCAGGGGTGAGGGGAGGCGTGAGAGGCACAGACTGATGGGGGAGCGTCTGTGTTGAGGTGAGGCTTGTGGTGGTAGTCTGGAAAGCAGCAGTGTTTGGGGTCTGACTCGCCAGCTGCTGGGTGGAGCCGGCGACACTGCTCTGTATGGAGGGAGCCGTGCTCATCTGGTCCTCAAACATGTCCTGGAAGTCCCCCACCTGGTTGCTGACAAACTGTAGCATCTCTGTAGAGAAACAAACAGGGAATAGTTCAGAATAAGCAACAAGAAGCTAAGGATAAATCCCGCATATTGAAATTTAAATTCCTCCAGTGCCAACAGAAGTCATGAAACAATAAGGTGCGGTAAAGTTGCAGGTTTTATTAAGATCTTTACATCTTGCAAACAGATAAGACTAAAGTGACCTTGAATCTGCAGGGACCTTTTAACAGATGCTGCTACTGTTCGGCTCATAAATCAATAGAAAGTATCCTTTAACCAGATAGCCTTGAAAGCAGTCAGTTAATCTAGATGGCCCTCACAGACGGCTGATAGATGCCATTGTGTAACTTAGGATACATGTTAGCTGGTTGTGGGCACATGCCAAAAAAATTCTCCAACCTAAAAATATAAAAACATCCATCGTAATCAGTGAGATACCAACAAATCTGACATTCTTCTTTAAAAAAAGAATGAAAATCATAAAAAAAATTCTATGAAATATGTTTATTAAAAAAAGCATTTTAAATCTACATTTTGTTTTCATTTATGGCTATGTGTGACTCCCTGCTGTAATGCAGCAAATTTCTGTTAGCTAATTTTAATCAATTTAACTGTATGATCTGGTTAAACTGTAAAGTGCCTTGAGATGACTTGTGCTGTGAATTGGCGCTATATAAATAAACTGAATTTAATTGAATTAATCTTCAAAAAGAAAAAGACGAGAAAACGTGCAAAAAAAGAAAAAGAAAAAAGGAAATCTGTACATTTATCTCTATAAATAATTAAAACTTCTCATTAGTAAAGTAAGCATTAAACTGATATTTGGAGTTAAAATGAAAAGTGAGAGTGAACAGGGGTTGGAGATTTTTGTGTCATCATGCTTGATCTCCAGGATGGTAAGCATGTTGGATACAGTAGCAGACAGGCGCAAACGTGCAGCAAATGAAACGAGCTACAAAAGTGTGTGCGGTGAAAATTCTAAAGTAGGCAAGCACAAAAAAAATTAAAAAATCTGCAAACAAAAAAAATGGTGCAATAATTAAAATAGTAAAAAAAAAGCAGAAACCTCACTCTAGAAATCAACCCCAAAAAACAAAGTGCTCCAATCCACTAGAGGGAGAGGAACAAAGAATGAACCATATTGAACCAGAGTGTTAGAAATGAATGAAGGATAACAAACCTCTCCTTTCTTCCTCCAACTATCTTTGAATAAAATGAACTCCTGTGTTAAAACGACTCTGTTTATAAGGAGGGTCTGGTCTGATAGGGTTCTGTCTTTATTTGATTCCCTCTAATGGTCTGGAACGCTTCTGTTTTTTTGGAGCGAGTTTTGCTGCTGTTTTTACTGCTTGCATCATTTTCTTTCTGTGATTGCAGCATTTTTCTGTTGCGTTTGTTTTTTTTTTTTTTGTTTGTTTAGAGTCACATGTTTTGCAGCTCAATTTGTTTGCACCTGCTGGCATTCAAGTCCATCTTAACTAGCAGTACCATGTTGGTAGGGGGGTGGTCTAAGATGACTGGCACCCTGTATCAAGATGACTTCTACTCCTCAAGCAAAATGGATTTAAAAGAAAGGGATTTAACAGACATCAAATAATTCCTCATGAAATCAATAGAACAATGTTATGAGGGTTGTGAGAAAACCAAAAAATCTGCAAACGATCAGAGAAAAATCAAGGAGGGGCAATCAGAAACCCATTTTTCTCCAGGGCAGAACCAGAACCCTCCTGAAACACTAAACAAAATAAAAAAGCTAAACTATGAAGAGTGGAGACCGGAAATCTGGGCCAAATTAATGGACCAGAAAGATGGACCTGTTGTTTGTTCAGTAGTTGGTTATAGACATGTTGGAGTTGAAGGGGGATTGAAATCCAAAATAAATTGTCATCATTTAGAATGGAGGTTTTCAATAGGGGGTCCACAGAGGTACTGCATGGGGGTCGCAAAAGTTTTGGCTGATTAGACTTTTTTTTTAATTACATACACTTCTCAAAAAAATGAAAGGAACACTTTGAAAAAACATCAGATCTCAATGGGGCAAAAAAAAAAAAACCATGCTGTTTATTTATACTGATATGGACTGGGTGATGTGTTAGGAACAAAAGGATACCACATCATTTGATGGAAATGAAAATTATCAACCTATAGTGGGCTGAATTCAAAGACACCCCAAAAAATTACAGTGAAAAAATGATGCGGCAGGCTAGTCCATTTTGCTGAAATTTCATAGCAGAAACTCAAAATGGTATTCAGTAATTGTTTGGCCCCCACGTGCGAGTATGCATGCCTGACAATGTCGGGGCATGCTCCTAATGAGACAACGGATGGCGTCCTGGGAGTATCTCCTCCCAGATCTGAACCAGAGCATCACTGAACTCCTGGACAGTCTGAGGATCAACCTGGCGGCGTCGGATGGATCGAAACATAATGTCCCAGAGGTGTTCTATTGGATTTAGGTCAGGCGAGCGTGGGGACCAATCAATGGTATCAATTCCTTCATCCTCCAGGAACTGCCTGCATACTCTCGCCACATGAGGCCGGGCATTGTCGTGCGCCAGGAGGAACCCAGGACCCACTGCACCAGCATAGGGTCTGACAATGGGTGCAAGGAGTTCATCCTGGTACCTAATGGTAGTCAGGGTGCCGTTGTCTAGCCTGTATAGGTCTGTGCGTCCCTACATGGATATGCCTCCCCAGACCATCACTGAGCCACCACCAAACCGGTCATGCTGAACGATGTTACAAGCAGCATACCGTTCTCCAACGGCTTCTCCAGACCCTTTCATGTCTGTCACACGTGCTCACAGTGAACCTGCTCTCATCTGTGAAAAGCACAGGGTGCCACCGGCGGACTTGCCAATTCCGGTGTTCTGTGGCAAATGCCAATCGAGCTCCATGGTGCCGGGCAGTGAGCACCACTAGAGGATGTCAGACCCTCAGGCCATCCTCGTGAAGTCTGTTTCTGATTGTTTGGTCAGAGACATTCACACCAGTGGCCTGCTGGAGGTCATTTTGTAGGGTTCTGGCAGTGCTCCTCCTGCTCCTCCTTGCACAAAGGAGCAGATACCGGTCCTGTTGATGGGTTGTAGACCTTCTACGGCCCTGTCCAGGTCTCCTGGAGTAACTGCCTGTCTCCTGGAATCTCCTCCATGCTCTTGAGATTGTGCTGGGAGACACAGCAAACCTTCTGGCAATGGCACGTATTGATGCGCCATCCTGAAGGAGTTGGACTGCCTGTGGGACCTCTGTAGGGTCCAGGTAGTGCCTTATGCTAACTGTAGTGACAGTGACCCCAGCTAAATGCAAAACCGGTGAAAAAGAGTCAGAAAAGATGAGGAGGGGAAAAAGTTTCATACAATAGATATAATTAGGGGGTCCCTGCTCCAACTCGCCATCAGTTCCTTAGCCTGGAAAACGTTGAAGACCCCTGATTTAAAAGAAATGTTCAGTAAGAAGTGGTACAAGAAAACAAAAAAAAGTTTAAATATTTCAAGAAGGCCTTGATTTTCAAGCTCCATGCATGCATCGACATACTCCCCTAAATGGCAGCTTAGTAGGCCTTCAATATGAAATAATAACTACAGAAGCCTGTTTCATTTTACTTAATCTCACCTATGCTCCTATCCTTTCCTCAACAGATGATTCATGTCAAATGAATACACTCCACCTCTGTCTAACTGGGTGGGAGAGAAATCTAACAGCTGATCCAGAAACCGAAAGACTGATTAGGGGAGGCCTGCCGAGATTATTACAAAGTAAGCCTTATTGGTCCCCGTTTTTTTTTTCTTTAAACATTACTTTGTATGTTTTAGGTTATGATTCTTACTTTAGCAAATACCTAAGAAGAAGAAGGTAATCATTTAACACATTACTGTATAACTGAACAAATTATGAGGAAGACTAAATTTTGCTTTTACTTCCTGATAAAATCAAATTTTAGATTTATTACCACTTAAGATTGCCTGAGAGAGAAATACAACTGGCTGCACATGTATTCCCTTTAACATCTGGCATTTACTACTCCTCCTTTAAAGCTAGCAGAAGTAAGTTTGTTATTGCGACAGGCCTTTATAGACCTTCTAGACTTTGTCCAGCAGCCCGTCAGAGTTCATGTGAAGATTCCCTGACTGAAGGCTGATGGAAAAGATGTCAGGGTCACCAGCAGCTGCTGACCTTGAACATAATCCAGCAGAACTCTGGACTGTTATTGCTTTACGTTGTCTTACAACAACCAAGCTATTTATTCTGCAGGGTTTTTTTTCTAGCTTTGCCAATCTATGACATAATAATGAAAACTAGAAAATTTCTAAAGAAATTTTGAGGGGGGCCACCTACTGCCCGTCTGGGTAACTGGGCCAATACGGCCCTGGCAAGTGACGTTGGGGCTGCTTACGCCTTTGAGGGCTGCTGAGGGAAGCAAAGAGGGCTAGGTCATGGGCAAAGAGAGCTGTGTGCCACTTGTACTGAAATCTGGGAAATAGACGTGCACAGCATATGATGCACAAGGGTAATATGGGTTGTCCATATTGAACCGCAGTGGGTAAAGCGCAGTTGGCGGGCTCTGCCCACCTGCTAGGAGCCCTTGCAGCGATGAAAAGAATCACCAATGGCGGGCTCCGCCCGCCTGCTAAGAGCCATTGCAGTGATGAAATCACCATTGGCGGGCTTCGCCCGCCTTCTAATAGCCATTGCAGTGATGAAATCACCAATGGCTATGAGCAATATGCCAGAATGTATGAGTGTGTATAAGGAAGAGGCTTTTATTCTGTAGAGTCCCTGTAGTCTTATTTTGAAAGTCTATCATGGATGTGCATCAAAAGAGGGGTCATGCCCAGCAGTGATATAGAATCCATTTCCAAATGTTAAATCACTGGTTTTCCATGTTATTAGGTGAATAGCTGCTGTATTACAGAGTAAATGGGAGACTTTTATTGTGAAATTTGCTCTGGGGTGTGTTTTGAAAAGGTCACTGGAGTCTAATAAAAACAACCTGGAAGAGTTTGGGTCATAATGTTGAGCCATTT